CCACATTACTGTCCTGGGCGCAATATCCAGTTCCGAAACCGTTGTCCATGCGTACGGTTGCCAGTGGGTGAGGCATTGAAAGGCGCCTGGACGCTCGGGTGTGTTGATGCTAAGAACCTGTGCAACTGCGAGTGGGCAAATGCCACTTGAGACTTCGGGGCGTTGAGCTTTATCTAGCTGTGATCTGTTCCGGCAGAATATATTGACGGCAGGTGATCCGCTTTTACCTTCTCAGCTCGCAGTACCGCAGGCTCTGGATGGCTCTGGAGGGCTTCGAGCAATCCACCTTGAGCATGCACTGCTGCTTCTACATGCCCAGTTCTGGCCATGCACACCTGAGTTGATTTCCATACTTAGAGGCCACCGAGTGGCCCATTGTAGATTTGTCTTATGTGGGAGCGTGAATCAAGATGTGTGATGCGAGCTGAGCACGCAGGCCTATGCTGTATTCAGAGGACCTGTTGGCAGAGGCACGTGTCTCCTCGTTTGAGAAGGAACTATCTGCGGGTTCGAGATGACAAGGGCATATCTTCGGCCCAGCAGCCAGCGCTTCCTGTGATGTGACAGTTGAACGGTCGGCTCTCGGCATTCCCTGGTGCATGTTGCCGCGACGAGACGTGTAATCTTCATCACGCCACCTTCGCAGTGCGTTCCTCGCCACACAAGCCATGTCTCAAAGTTGGCACCCTTCAAGCTCGCTGGCCCTCAACGTCAGTCGTCTCTGCGCATGGGGAGCATGCTCTTGCGTGACAGACTCAGGGGCACAGGCCAAGCCCCAGGCTTCCAACTTTGTTTTCAGGGCACGCTGCTGACTCCACTCTCCAGATTCGGAGTACAGACTGACTGGGAAAATCGTGTTCCGCAAAGCACGCGGACTGAAAACCCATCCAAGAGAAAGAGGCCCCGGCAAGAGGTTGCGGATTGTGTTGGAGGCGGCACCTTCTCCCGCCATTGTAGATTGTGACATGCAGTGTGAGTGCGTCTGAATTTCTAGTGAGCATCTCCGAAAGAAGTTTGCCATGGGAATCCTGAGCTACCGCTTTTTTTGTCTTAGCCATGACTTCCTTTTGGTTAGGAGCTCCTTTCCGTTTGGGTCACGGCTCTGCTCGGATCACCAGGTTTGCCGACCCAGTTTAAGCCCGTCCATGCATTGCTTACCTTAACAGCGTCCATCAATCTGAAGTGACTCGTGGCCTCGATAAGAGCAGGCACCAGAAATCAGCCATCTCTGCAAGCAGGTTCTGCGAAAGGCCGACCGGCCGACCCCAAACGCTGGTCACGCACAATTCGTGGCATGTGCGGCCTTACCCCCATCGGATCAGAGGCTGTTTTGCTTGTAGGTGTCTCTAGCAACGAAGCAGGATTCAGCAACTGCACTGCAGAATAAACGAAACGCAACTTCAAGTTGCTACTGGACCCAGTTTGGCAGTCGTCATCAGCCCAATCAGCCCCGTCGAAGACCACCGGCAACGAGAAATGAGACTCTGCCCACGGAGTGCCCCACTGTGGTCGTGGTATCTCCCGTGCACCAAGCTGTCAGCACTACGTCTCCCCTGACACGTGGGAGATTTGTTACGTAGCGTCGCAAGCCGCGGCGCTTGAGTCGGTCTTGTTTCACAGGATGCTGTCTTGGCCTTTGATTGCAGGGTTCGTAGCATCACCGGCGAGGCTGAGGAGAAGCTGCTGAAGTTGTATTCCTCCCTGAGGGGCCTGCCCGGCTCTCAGATCCGCACTTGAGGAGCCCATGTGCGGTGAGAGCACCAAGACCTTCAGGCGGCAGTACCCCAGTCACACGTTGACGGCCGTGCGCAGTGAGAACATCAGCCGTGGTTGTAGTAACAGATCCTGCCTGCCGCCATCACTGCTGCGCGATGCTACTGCCACTGGTAACACTATACTGCCCATTCATGCATGCATTCACTCGGACGCTTGTGCGGGACGTCCCGCACTGTGGCAGGCATCGGAGCAGGATGGTGAATCTTCTACGGCTCAGCTCAGCTGAGCTACTACTACTACTACTACTACTACTACTACTACTACTACTACTACTACTACTACTACTACTATTACTATTACTCTTACTACTACTACTACTACTACTACTACTACTACTACTACTACTACTACTACCACTACTACTACTACTACTACTACTACTACTACTACTACTACTACTACTACTACTACTACTACCTACTACCTACTACCTACTACCTACTACCTACTACCTACTACCTACTACCTACTACCTACTACCTACTACCTAGTACCTACTACCTACTACCTACTACCTACTACCTACTACCTACTACCTACTACCTACTACCTACTACCTACTACCTACTACCTACTACCTACGACCTACGACCTACGACCTACGACCTACGACCTACGACCTACGACCTACGACCTACGACCTACAACCTACCTACTACCTAATACCTACTACCTAATCCCTACTCCCTACTCCCTACTACCTACTCCCTACTACCTACTACCTACTATTACCTACTGCTACCTACTGCTACCTACTACTACCTACTACTACCTACTACTACCTACCACTACCTACTACTACCTACTACTACCTACTACTACCTACTAGACTACTACTGCTACTACTGCTGCTACTACTGCTGCTACTACTGCTACTACTACTGCTACTACTACTATTATTACTACTACTACTACTACTACTACTACTACTACTAGCCACCCCCCCCCCTTCCCAAGTACACTTGTTCCATCCGGGCTGGGCAGCGGTAGCTGCTAGACGCCCTTAACTGCGACAGTTGCAGAAGATGCACGGGCTCAGGCTCCCTACCTGTGACAGCTGCAGAAGTTGCAGAGTCTCAGTTTCCTTAACTGTCACAGCCGGTGAAGTTGCTTGGGCTCAGGCCCCAAGACTGCGACAGCAGCTGGAGTTGCAAGCTCGACGGGCAAGAAACTGCTAAACCGCAGGTGGTCGGATAGTACGAAAACGCTGTAAATACCGTGCACAACGCAGGTGCTGCCAAGAAGTGTTTAACATTTCTAAAACCTGAATGCAACATCTTCTAAACATCAAAAACAAAGATGCCAGCTGTACGTGGGAGGGGCTCGCAAACACCGCACCGCCCAACCTCGGCGTAGGAGGGTCTGTTTTTGAAGTGGTGTGTGTGTGTGTGTGTGTGTGTCTCTGTGTGTGTGTGTGTGTGTGTGTGTGTGTGTGTGTGTGTGTCTGTGTCTGTGTGTGTGTGTGTGTGTGTGCGTGCGCGCTTGAGTGTGGAAATGTTGTTCAGGGTGCCGCAAAACAGTGTCGCGATCATCCCTGAAGAAGCTTTCCCCCCCCCCCAATTTCGAGTTTTTTTGCAAACAGTTCGAAACAGCAAAGTTTAATACACATAGTCGAGAAGTAGGGGCTCAGAATATGTAACAAAGTCTGACATCACGAAAGTACCGTAAATACCGAGTTAAACGGCTCTTGTGGTGATACTGTTGGGTGTGTTTGCGTAACACTGCCGTCATCATCCCCCCACCCACCCCCAGAAGCAAGTCCAAAATCAAGAGCCCGAGTTTGCAAACTCGACCAGTCGTTTCTGAGGCCTCTTATGATGATCGCTCATGACGAAAGTGCCGTAAATACCGAGTAAAACGGATGTTGTCTTAACATGGTTAAGAGCAAGTGTAGTTGGTAGGGGGGGTGCCTACTACTACTACTACTACGACTACTACTACTACTACTACTACTACTACTACTACTACTACTACTACTACTACTACTACCACTACTATTACTACTACTGCTACTACTACTACTACTGCTACTGCTACTGCTCCTGCTCCTGCTACTGCTACTACTACTGCTACTGCTCCTGCTACTGCTACTGCTACTGCTACTGCTGCTGCTGCTACTGCTGCTGCTACTGCTACTACTACTACTACTACTACGACTACTACTACTACTACTACTACTACTACTACTACTACTACTACTAGTACTACTCCTGCTACGGCTACGGCTACTGCTACTGCTACTGCTACTCATACCACTACTACTGCTAGTACTACCACTACTACTACCACTACCACTACTACTACTACTACTACTACTACTACTACTACTACTACTACTACTACTACTACTACTCCTACTGCTACTCCTACTCCTACTCCTACTGCTACTGCTACTGCTACTGCTACTGCTACAACTACTACGACTACGACGACTACTACTACTACTACTACTACGGTTAGTTCAGGCTCAGTTGTATTGCGAATGGCATCTTGCAAGCAGCGCAAGCTGCTTCGGCAAGGTCGCCACCTGCGGACACTGTCCCTCCAGACGGATGTGAGCTGGGCACACAGGTGCTTGTGATGAGTGACGTCCGAATCGTCGGTCCGAACGATAACAGGGCAGAGGCGATTTAGGACGAGAACCAACACGTTTACAGCCTGTCGCAATCCCCAGACGTGCTTTTTCAAGCTCGCAAATGCTTGACACGGCGAAAGTCTTGGATGGTTGAAAAAACTGTTGTCCCCATGATTGCGATTGTGTACCCTGCAGAACCGAACCGTCACGGGGTTTCCTTTGGCGGCCCAGAACTTGAACCTTGTTGTGCGTCCGAAGACGAGGTCCGTAGCAAAGTCCAGATATTCGCACATCGAAGCTATTGCAGACGCTTAGCGAAGGCTTTGGAATGCTCGAAGAGACTGGCCGACGGCCTGACAGAAGTGAAGCGAGCCGCAGAATCAGGATGTTGAACAGGCCCGACCGTAGATGGCCCACAGGCAGTGGAAGTGGTTCTTGCCGAAGTTAGGCCTGCATCGCGAATGCCTCACTGACTGGCAAATCCAACTGAGGCAACACAGCCGCTTCCTGGCAGCCATGGCAAATGTGACTTCACCGCAAGCAGCAATACTCGTAGGCCAGTACCGAATTGGCCAAGCACGTTGTGTTCTGATGTCGGCACTTCCCGAAATTAAGTCCATCCTCTGCTTCGTGCTGTGCACCTCTGGCCATGCCTGTGAAAGTTGGGCAACTTCCCATTTCTGGTACCCTTGAGTCGGTGATGCGGCTTGACGAGGATTTCGACACCGTCAACGCGGTGGCGGTCTGCACCCTGGGCGTGCTGCACTTCATGGCTCTAGAAGGGCCGGCTGCACCTCCCAACTTCCTCAAAGCACACGTGGCTAAGCGCAAGGCTATGTCGGAGCTCTCCCGGGAGCTTCTGCAGCTGCAGCAGGCGAGCGAAGGTCGGACACTCGCAATTGCACGTCGGGTAGAACGATCCTACCAGCCTTCCCGCCTTTACTCACGACTCACGCCGCATGTTTGACTGCAAAGACGAGGTCTTCTAGACAGAGACGTTGCCCAAAGTTAAGAACTGAGCATGTAACTATGCCTGCTGCCTGCTGCTAGGAGATCGCTGCAATTGGTTAGGCTAGTGTGTGATACTGCAGTTTGCATGTACACTTCCACGGTTGCTTCCCGAACTCGGCACATTAATGCCCTCAAGGTCCCGTGCAAGAGGGCCCTGCTTTCCTGGACACTCTGACATATGTCTTAGGCGAGGGAACGGACGCCGAAGAGGCCCGGATCAGCTTCGAGGAGAAAGCCAGGCAACCGGCAGAGTCCGGTCGGGGTTTCTTCAGTGACAGTGGTCTTCCTTTGCTCAACGTACAACTGAATGACACCACTTTGCTCCTGTGTCCGGGTTTTGTGGTCGAGTGGGCCAGGCGGCTAAGCCAACAAGCAGCTCAGCCTGGTAGTCGCGCCCTGCATCCGCCAAGGCATCTTTACACCATGGGTGGAGTCCTTGGTCTTCTCCAGCGCCTGCCTCATTGCACTGCCAGAGCCCCCACGCGAAGCCGCCAGATGCGCCCAGCTCGGCAGGCGCGACCCGGAAGTTGTTTGCAAAGGGCCCGTCGACTCGGACTTCGAGGCCGGGAAGGGCCAAAGCGCAACATGCCTCCTGCCGTGGGAAAACCTCTTCCACATCCCGAAGAGCCCATCCCTGGACCCGGCAGAAGGAGAAGGTGGAGCAGCTCATTCAGGCTGGGGCGCTGGGGCGGTAGCGCAGCCACAAACATCACCATTTCTATCGCCGTCACAAACATCGATATCGATGCCAAGATTGGTGCTACTGTACCGCATCACATGAAGGCAACTAGAGACTACTGTTCTTTACCTTGCGCTTGCACGTCAGCGACTGCTGTTGGAGTCTTCATCCCACTTCGCAGCAGCATTTTGGGTTGCTCGGTGTCGATCCTGTTTCGATGTAGAGGGCAACGTTTCGCGATGGCCATGTATGATCTTGGTGACGAACATGAGGTTGATTGAGGATGACGATTAACACGGCCAACGTAATGGTTGGGACGAAAAACAGCGGATGACGACGACGACGGTCGTGGTAGTGTAGCATACCAAGACATTGCCGATGTTGGCCAAAAGATCGCGTGCGTCAGCAAGCTTCCCTGTTGCTTTGGCATCTCCCGCTCAGAATTACAAATGGAAGAAGCCGACACGAATCAGAAACTCTAGAGGCATCGAACAAACGAGCATGTGAAAAGGACATGTCGGGAAGACTTGGATGACCAATTCCTCCACCAGGAGAGAGATGCTGCGAGGAAAGACAAGGACCGGACGAGCTGCAAATCCCACGTCCCGACAACTACGAATTCATTAATGACAGCTGGTTGCAACCCATGCGGAGGACTTCGCCCGAGCAGATGCTATCCGAGACGAGCTGACAGGTGGAGCGGATGGTAAAAGACTCTGGAGGGCTATGTGGAAACCGGCATAGTCGTAAGGGGAGGATGGTTCTGAGTTGCACACTTCGAAGCCGCCTCAAGCAAAATTCTCATGTTTGCACCCACTACTATCGCGACTACAGCTTCCGATAGACTCTGGCCAGACCTCGGAGTGATCCTGGAAGACGGTGGTAAAGGCACGGAACTGAGAGGCTTTAGGGCTTCAGGGTTAGTCATTGGTTTAGATTTTTCTGGAGGCTGCGGGCCACGATCTTGGCCAGGGGATGCTCCACCCTAAATCCACAGCTCGACAAGTTCCAGAATGGACCACAGCACATCATCGATGCCAAGGCCCCAGCGGGCTCCCGTGCTGCAACCCCCGCCGAGGCACAACCTGGCGCGTGGCTTCCATGGCCTGACGATGTCCCAAGCTTTAAGCTTGTAGGCGTCTCGGTGCCACATGCGCAACGCAGCATCTCAGACTCAGTGGATGATTGTCTTCTCAACACAATTCTCCACGTTGAGAAGCTCATGCAGCATTGCTCTCGATGTAATTTGCCCGTGTAGTGAAGCGAGTGACAATCATCGACTCAAACGGGCATGGGCCTATTGGGAGCCGATTGGCCACATCAGACTCAAGGCCTTGAACATCCTTGGGAAAACCAATGCAGCCTGATTATTTGATCTTGCCTTAGCTGCAGTCTCACTGTTGTACGGCGTCCTAACTTTCCCAAACCCCAAGGCAAGAAGTTCAGGCCGCTTACTACAAGTCTGTCCAAGATGCGACAAACAAGTCGTGAGGAGGGGTATGTTTGTATCGCTGTCACAAAATTAAAATTCTGAATCCAGCTCTCTTGAAAGCTGGCAGGTTTAGGAAGACCAGAGGGGTTGTCGTGATGGAGGAGGTTGTTCTTCGCGCTGCAGGATCTCTTAAGAAGGATGCCTTTTTCCAGCCAGCATGCAGTCAGCCGAGCGTGGGCCGCAGTGCACATCTACGCAGAGTTGATTAGGGGCACTCAATCGACTGCATTGCTGGAGCGGGTGATCCCTCTTTCCCAGTGCGGAAAGGAAGAGAGTCCTTGAATGCAGCTTGGACCACCTAGCCGCAGTCCAAGATGTCCGGCGCCCGTTTTCCCGCAGACCTGGCAGACCCTGCAACACGCAAAAAAGCAACATAAAGCAACATGCTTGGCAGGCAGTCTCGCTTTCCAGGAAATTGCGTTTGCAAGAGTCTGGACTTGCACGCCACTTTCCTCCAAGAGTTGGTTGGGCTCGCTGAGTCTAGCGCGAATCGCCGTGCACTGTTGGGCTCGAGGAGATGTCGGAGACCCGTTGGTGGGCATGGTAGGAGCTGTTCAACACAGGTACTGGAGAGTCCACCGTTTTGTCGCTTCATGTTTTGTCGCTCCAAGCATCCTCAAAAGCTGACACTCTCGACACTCCGACGACCCCTCGACCGTATACACCCCATCACCTAGAATCCTATATAGGCAGTCCTAGGGCTAAGACGACAAGCGCGGCTTTCGCACTGGGATGATTCCGGCTCCGCTGGGCTTCGATGCCTGGGCCTGGCCAGCGGCGGTGCTCGGCCAAGGCCAGCTCGGCCTCGCCTCGAAGGGAGCGAAGGGAGGCAGAGAGGAAGGGGGAGAGACGCGGTTTTTTCGACCCTATGAAGCTCCCCAAAAACAGAAGGGAGCTTTACAAACAAAGGGAGAGACGCGGTTAGAAAGCAGAAACCAAGATCCGGAGCTGGGCCGGAGGGGTCGTCGTGGCGCTGGTCGTGGCAGCTGGGCTGGTGGCATGGCAGCTGAGCTCCTTGGCAAGTGGAAGAAGCTGATAGTTTGCGACCGCTGGCATATCTGAGAAAGTCGCAGGCGCTTCAAGCATGACGTAAATAAAAGTCGGCGGATTCCCGTGCTTCGCGCCACGCAGCCTGCAGACATTTGTATCGACGGCCAAGAATTCTGTGATTCAGCATGCGACACGTGTGAGATCGTGTGAGTCCTGAGTTTGAGCGAAGGGTAGGCCGAAGGCCGAGCGAGCCGTCAGCTGGCGGCCTGATCCGTGCTCTGTCAAGGCAGCCTTGAATTATCAGGAGTGGTTGAACAGTCTTACTTTCTAACTATCAAAAGCTATATGATGTTGGTAAACTCTTCCTGACCGTGCCCACACAATAGTCCTTGTTCCGCACGAATAGTCGGTCTTGTTCCTTGCAAGTCGGCCGTCTTTCCGTTTCTTCCGATGGCCGCTTGTGACAACATGTTCGTCCCAGTTCTTGAAGCCTAGCGCGGGCATGCTGCCTAGCACCACTCAGGTGCAATGCTTCTGCTGTTCTGCATTATCATCTCTTTGGTCTGCAACCCAGAAGATTTTGAAAGACCACTGTGTTCTAGTGATCGCAACTCGTGCCTCTCTCCAGGATGTACAGACCGTCAAGAGGTGGAGAGAGGGAGAGGGAGAGAGCGAGAGAGAGCGAGATACTGTTATACAGGGGTGAGCTGGGCGGGCCTATGGCCGGGGGGGCGCGTGCGACCCCTACGCCCTGCAGAAAGAAAGAAAGAAAGAGAGATACTGTTGCTGATGTGCAGTTCCACTAGTTCAGCACTAACCTGTTGTCGAGGGGGACCACGTGGAACTGACTTGAGACAATGCATGTGTCGACCTATAACTGAGGATCCCCGATAAATCTAGAGTCCAATATATGCTGCTGCTGATCGGGGGGGGACTCGTTAGGTTCTCAAAAGCCCTGCCAAAAACCCCATGTGAACACATCGGGGGGGGGGGGGCATGCGGCCGGTGCGGCCGGGCCGGGGGGCCCGCCCAGAAGAGAGAGAGACTGTCGTCTACTCCAGCCTTTTTTCCAGTGGGCGAGATCGCGCAGGGGGCTTGCGCAGGCAAACTCCCTCAACTGCGTGGAAGAAGAGTGAGAGAGAGAGAGAGAGAGAGAGAGAGTTTCGGTCGACATTTCCACATTTGTCTAGCTAGAAGACCATCTAGCGAAACAGGGAGACGTCCCTTCAGTGGGTCCAGACGTGCGGTGTCTGTCTGTTCAGCTTGTTGTGAGTTGTGATCGTCAGCATTTGCACTGATCCCAGACCTCGACCTGACGATCCTTTCTGCTGCTCATTCCACCTCTCTGTGACGGGGAAAACCCCGATAAGCTCCTGCACCTATCAACAGCTTTGACAATAGTGAGTTGTAGCTGAATCGTATCCTTGATGGTTCTATGGCTTTCTGAAGTGCAGTTGCGGAGCGAAGAGCTTTGTCTTTTTTGGACAAACGAGAGTCGTGGTTTGCACACTGCCTTTACTCACCTCCGCAACAGTCGGGGGCGCACGTGCGCGCGGTATAGGGGGTAACACCCCTATACCATAGCCCTGGCGAAAGAAAGAGAGAGTTTCGGTCGAGACATCATCAAGCCTTCACTCTCCTGTAACAGCCCGTACAAGGCGGGCCTGACTCAGTGCCCGGGGGCCTTAACTCGCCCCATAAACCTGGGAGAAGAAGAGTGTGTGTGAGAGAGAGAGAGAGAGAGAGAGAGAGAGAGAGAGAGAGAGAGAGAGAGAGAGAGAGAGAGAGAGAGAGAGAGAGAGAGAGAGAGAGAGAGAGAGAGAGAGAGAGAGAGAGAGAGAGAGAGAGAGAGAGAGAGAGAGAGAGAGAGAGAGAGAGAGAGAGAGGGGGAGAGAGAGAGAGAGAGAGGGAGGGAGAGTGTGCTATAGATTCTGGACTCATGAGCGGATGCTCAGCGGATGCCCTGAGGGCATGGTCGCGAATCTGGAGACATCGAGGCCATGACCAGCAGTGCCAGATTCGGCGGACTGCAGCACACTGTGGTCACTGTAAGCCTAGGACGATAGTGTCCTCTGAGTGGTTCTACGACGTGTCAGCATTTGTGATCTTTTGCTGCTGTGCTTTGTTTGCAGGAAGCAGTCCCCGGCTCAGTCTCTTGCGGACGAGTGGGACAGGGATCAACATCCTTCGGTCAGCCTTCGATCAGCCTGCAGGTTCGGGACCTTTCTCTGGATCCTCATATGCGGCCAGTTCTTTTCGCTCGCCACTCTTTTCAGTGCCCATGCCCAAGCCTTAGCGACGGGAAAAGGAGGGGCAGACCGCATTAGCCGGGATTCGTGACAGGGAAAGACTGCAATCGCAAGGGAAGAGCGAAATGCCGTCATTAGCCAGAGATCGTGTTCCGCAGAGTGCCCAGGGTTGCCAAAGCACCCAGCATGTTCTGGGGATTCATGCAGTTTGCTGCAGGCCCTTGCTGAAGCGCAGGCAGCGTACCACACCGTTCCGTCGGAAAAAATCCTTAACCACGTCAGCTGATCATTTGCCTGGCAAGCTGGATCTGATTCTGCCCATATTGGAAGATGTACACGTTCGGTTGACTCAGCTGTCTTTATACGAATAGCTGGAAGGGTTTTGGTAGGCCGTGACATGCGCAGGATCCAAGTCAGATATGGCCGGAGGCCGGCCGAGTTTGCTGCGCACATCTTGAGGGTTTTGCTTCTCTAGGAAGGAAAGGGCACAGGTTCTTCGGCTTCGCCAGGCCGACTCCGAGTTGGCGCCACTGCTGCCCGAGATGGCCGACGCCCTCGACTGGGCCGCGCTCCGCAGCGATAGAATCATGTGCCAAGGAAGGGTAGGCTAATGGTACACAGTGTGGCTTTGTGGGGCAAGGTGATATTGATCTGAAAGACAAAGATCGCGCGTGGGATCGTGTGGGGCGGGGTGAGAACTGCTTTCCCAAGCCCACTGCAGCCCAAACCCAAGGCCTGATCAGAGTCTTGTCGCAAGCTGTGAGGTTCCAAAGGGTCTCCGAGAGGATACTGTGCTTCGCTACTTGCACGACCTTGTGTCCGGTCAATGTATATCATGCAAGACCCTGGCAAAAGGTCAGCCAGAGCGACAGCTTCGTTGACTCCTATATTTTCCGCGATGTGCTGCTGTTCAACTCCCGTGCCAGCGGTGTCAAAGGCCAATGTTGGCATGCCAATGTCGCTTCATGGAGTAATGAATCATCAGCTAAGGTTGCCAGTGTCCGTTGTCTCTCCTCCTCCCCTCTCTTGCCTGCCCGTGTGCAGCCGTAGAGTGTGTGAGCGCTGTCTGTGTGTGCACAGCACGGCGCAGCCTCGTTTGCCTTGCAAGTGCAAGGGTGGTCACACCCGCAGCAATCAATCAATCAGTCAATCAATCAATCTCTTTTGCGCCTCTCTCTCTCTCTCTCTTTGTCTCTCTCTCTCTCTCTCTCTCTCTGTCTCTCTCTCTCTAGCTCTAGCTCTCCTTCTCGCCCTCCCTTCTGCCATGGATGCGCAGGACTCATGGCCACGAATTTGTCCGAAGCCAGCTTCGTCAGCGAAGAAGTCTGTTGTCAGCAGGATAAGTAGCTTTTTGAACGGGGTTCATTTGTCGGTCATGTGCCATAGATTTGATTTGCACAATTGGCCACCTGTCTCTTGATGAGAAGTGCATTAAGCAAGGGCACAGTAGCTCCACAACATTGCTTTGTCGGACAGTCCGCACTGTGAGCTTGGCTTCACCTTGATGACCATAAGCGTGCGGAGGTCACATCCAGCCTGCAAGGAACCTTGACAAAAGCTCCCGCCAAAGCCAACGCTGCAATGCCTAGCGAAACCCAGGTTCGACCAGGTGACATTTCTGCTGCCCGCGGCTACACGGAGTTCGAGGCTTCGCGTGGACTTGCATACGGAGGCAGATTAACTACATCTCCTGGCACTAACGGTACATGCCAGTTTGGGCGCTGTTGCTCAGGAACAAAGGCTCCGGGGACTTGAGCTGCTTCTGTAGAGTCACACCTGAGCTGTCTGCAGGAGATATGCCGACTATGCTGTTGAGCTAGGTCTCCACGCTCATATCCACAGAAGGTTGGATGAACTGATCTGCAACTGGCCATGTGCATCATAATCATCGTAACATCCGTGATTCTATCAAGGCAGTTGAAATCGAAGCTGATATTGTCATTGATACTGTAGAGCCGACATCCCAAACCCAATCTTGTAACCGAGAAAGCCCCGAGGCTGCAGATGCTCCCTGCAAGGAGCAAACAGCAAGCATTGTTCTTTTGCTCTGTCAGGGCAAGCTCTTCTTTGCCGCCGCGACGGCAGGCGAGGGCCCCGAAGACGGGGCAGAGGAGGCTTAGCAAGAGCGTCGTGGTCGTCACGGTTCGGCACCAGAATCAGCAGCAGCAGAAGCTAACCCTTGTTGCGCTGCTTGAACCCCATCAGAATACATCATCAAACGGTAAGAAGCAGGGTAGTCCTATCTGCAGACCAAGCCCAGCCACCGGCCTGTGACACTATCTCCTTTCACGAAGACATCCAGGCGGTGATGAGCTTTGGTTCTGGGATGGCCCGGATGCCCAGGAAAGGTTAACAGTATTGCACTCGGACACCTCGTTTGTGGGCATTCACCACCAATCGGAGACGAGGCTCAGATGCCCTGAACGCCAGCATTCGGCCGGTGCAGAGCTTTCGCAACAGGCCTGGTCCCTCAAAGCTTGGCTCTGGGATTTCAGGGCTTGGCATCAGTAGTCGTCTGAGTAGTTCTGAAGTGATTTTGAGTGTGCTGCCGACACTGCTCGAATATGGAGATGATGTCATTGATTGCGAAGGTGAATGTGATGATGGTGAGGAGGAGGCCGCCGACAAACATGGAAAATGACGAGGAGGAGGAGGAGGAGGAGGAGGAGGAGATTGTGTGATTGTGATGGTGACGGAGATGCTACCTGCACTCTTCCCCCCCGCCGGCCTCCTCGAAGGGTCAAGAGGAGGATTTCTAAGCTAATGAAGCGGGAGGTAAGAAGAGGCGGAAGACTGGCAGGAGGGGCAAGGAGCGCACAAGCAGGAAATAGAAGAGGGATGAGAGGGAGTGAGAAGAGAGAGGGGACAGCGGGAAGGAAAAGCAGAGATAAGCAGAGAAGAGGGAGCGGCCACCCAAACCCCCGATGGGCGGCGGGCTTGGTCATCACCTGTCTCGTCACCGTCGGGACGGGTTTTCGAAGGTCACGCAGCGACCTTTCTGGCTTCGCACAGGATCCCAATCAGCTATCGGGGCGTTGGTCGTCCCGAGGCTGCGAACATTGTCAATTTAAAAGTGGCTTGGAACTCCTCTAGCCGCAGCCGCAGTGCAGGGGACAGGTGATGGCAGGTGCTGACACAAGGGCATTGGCAGATCACAGGCAGGGTACAGAGTTCCAAAACCATTTTAGGGCCTGGAAAGCTCAAAATAGTGCTTTTGGAACTCAGCTCGGATTGGTATTACAATGTAGCACGGCGCCATTAATTACAACATGGCCAAATCCGATGAGCTTCTCAGGCCCCCGGTGGCACGCGAAGTTGATGTCGTGGGCCACGTTACCGCAGGCCATCATGACCTCGTCGACGGGTGTGTGTGTGTGTGTGTATAGTCCAGCCTTGGGAGGCGTCACCAAGCGAACTCACGTCCGCGACGTTGACAATCGAATGGACCCGGTAGAAGTCAGGCGACCAAGCCCGATTAGCTCACCGCCACGCCCTACGTTGTCGATGAACGTAGATGAAGGCCTTGCAAGCGGCGAAAGGTGCGAGGTGGTTGTTCCACGTGGAGACGACTTGGGTGGGGCAGTTGTCCTCAGTAAGGGGCCTGCATAAGCTCCCGCACTTGAGCCTATAGAGGGCGACGAAAACGTCCTCGGCCGCCGCGAGCTCCGGTATGGACTCAATTGGGCAGACCCCCGGGCTTTGTTTACAACCCACAACTTCTTGATCAAGCCGCCCGACTCGGAGTCGGACGACTGGGAGTCTGTCAACGCCGACAGCCTGAAAGAACAGCCGTGTCCGACGAACCGGACATGGTCAGGTCCACTCTCCTTGTCTTGGACCACCTCACTGGCCACGAAACCTGCGGCGCCAGTACCGGGCATGGATGCAGCGAACATGGAAATCTCTCAATGGAGAGAGAAAGAGGCCCGGACTGTTTGCTAGATGTGCAAATGGTTGCCGCAAACTTCCCAAGCATCACGTGTCCCAAGCTTGCAGCACAGCACGTTTTTTTGCAGGTGTGCAAGAGGCTGCCACACTGACCAAGCATCAGCGTGCAGAAGGTTGCCACAAGCTTCCCAAGTACCAGTATCAGGTGTGCAAAGGCTCCCACAGGTTTCCCAAGCATGAGGTGATTGTTTGATAGGTGTGCAAATGGTTGAACCCTCACCACTTCTCAGCACTTCTCAACACAAATCAGCAGTCGCCACCGCACATCAACAAATTTTCTCACCACCTCTGAGCACTTCGCAAGCGCATCGTCAGAGCCTTGAAGCAAGTGGATCGGCGAGTTCTCGGAGGCTCAAAGAACGGATTGGTCGAGTCGCCAGAGCACTCAGACATTAAAGCAAGTGGATCGGCGAATTCTCGGAGGTTCAGACAAGCGGATTGACCTCAAAACAAGTGGATCGGCGAGTTCTCAACAGTTCAAAAAAGCGGACTGGGCGAATCGTCCGAGCCTTGGACTGGCCGAATCGTCCGAGAATTGAAACAAACGGATTGTCGATTTCTCAGACCTTGGAAGAAGTGGATCGGCGAGTTCTCAGAGGTTGAACACATTTGCAAAATGAGCTTGTATGCATGCACTCATCCATTGACACTAAGTTTTGGACTGAAACAAGTGTTGTCTGGGCAATTCAACACACGGTTGAAAACATTTCTTTTTCAACACGCAGGAGCACTTGCTTCTCAGCAGGCATCAGCACCGGTGACCACACATAGCCACCAGCACTGAGCTTGGGCTTCCGAGACGCATTTCAGCGCACGATTGAGCACGTGCTTCTTAGCAGACATCAGCACCTGTGACAAAACAAAGTCTTTTTTTAGGGCCTGGACAGCTCAAACAATAGTTTTCGAACTCCTCTGGGAAGGCTTCGAACCCATTCGAAGTCCTGGAAGCCACCCTTCAGATCCCTTGAAATCCTTGGTATTTCGGGACACTGAAAATCTCGATTTCGGGCGGGGCGGACAGAAATGACGCACATGGGGTCGAGCGCGCAAACATGTCCTTCGAGACCGAAGCTGCATATAACCATTGAGATGCAGGTAGCTTACGGGAGATGTTCTGTTCGCAAACAAATGTAAAGTGGAAGGGCAGGGCCTTCCAAGCAAAGGAGGACGAGGCTTGGACTGCTAGTATACATAATCCGTGGCAAAAATCGAGATTTAGTTAATAAAAGTGAGTACTAGTAGGAGAGATCGGATTGGTAAACGTAGTAGCAATTACAAACAGCGAACAATATTAATAGTTCAATAGTAGGCAACAAGGGATATCAGACTCGCAACTGTTGCCTTGGTGCATAGCCCGCCGCTCTGCACAGTTTGTGTTGTTTTGTCGTTGGCCGGGAGGGGGGGTAATGGGCACGCAGTGGTTGGTGTTGTTGCCTTGCTGTCCTTGGTTCGAAACCCATGTAAACCCGCAAGACCGACATGCCGATTCCATCGATATTTACAGAGTTTCCTTAATTTCATGTGCCGAGTATGACGGTGAAGTCGGTGTTCCCGGTGCTTGCAAAGTCACGAAGGCTGCACGTGCCGATACCCCTTGGCATTTATGGTCTTTCATTTGCTTGCCATACCGAAACCGTCGGTATTGCGGTGCGTCGTCTACTTCCCCGGCCCAACCATGAATGATGACGTCCATGGCCCCATGGCTTAATCGGTTCTGAGAGAAGAGCATCCATGGCCCAACCATGATTACGTCCATGATCTAATCCCGCTCTGAGTCAAGAGCATCCGTGGCCCAACCATGATGATGTCCGGGTCTATCCCGTTCTGAGAAGAGAACATCCATGGCCGGACGTCGACGGCCCAATCCGTTCTGAGAGCGAGCATCCATGGCCCAACCATGATGACTTCCATGGTTTAATCCGGTCCGAGAAGAGAGCATCCCTGGCCTAGCCATGATGGCGTCCATCGTCTAATCCGCTCTGAGAAACTGCATCCATGGTCTAACTATGAGGACGTCCATAGTCTAAGCCGTTCTTTTATGCAGCATCCACGGCCCAACCATGATGACGTCCATGGTCTTATCTGCTTTGCGAACATTACGACGTCCCTGGTCTAGTCCGTTGAAAGGGGCATCTTTGGCCCAACCATGATGACATCCATGGTCCAATTGGTCCTGAGGAACAACATCCATGGCCCGACGTCCATGGTCTAATCCGTTCTGAGAAAAGAGCATTCGTGGCTCAACCATGATGCCGTCCCTTCCGAGCTTCCCTTGTGGGAAGTGCTTCTGGTCCCGCACAGGCCAAGCGAAGCCTCAAAACACAAACCAAGAACGCTGTTCAAAATTTGCGTTCAGCGTGTTCCCACACAATAAAGTTTTATCTCGCAAAAGGGTTCCCGTGGAAAACCGAGGCAACGGCAACGGAGACCAAGTTGGCGAACTCTGCGTACAAAAGTGGGTTTCGTCCGAGTCCCAGCATGACCACGTGAAACGCACATCGGAATCTCCACCGTGTCCATTGAAATTTACATGCTTAAAGCCATGGCAAAGCGAATCAATATCATGTCCCAAATCACTGACATCCCGTTCGCACGGCGCACGTTGCCGTCACATGGCTTTGCACGCGCTTGCAACGGGATCGGTCTTTGTTGTTGTTTATCTTTGTTGTTCTTGTTTTTATTGTTCTCATTACCCATCCTTGTTATTATTGTGAGTTTTTTGTTTTTGTTGTTGTTGTTGCTGCTGGTGTTGGGGTGGTTGTTGCTGCTGTTGTTGTTCTTCGTATTATTGTTATTCCGATTGTAGCAAGTTCTAACTAAGTATTTTTTTAAATAGCTGTTGGGGTTGGCAGGTACTCCACTGGACGCCGTGGAAGGTGTTGCAATTTCCGCGCAGCGGAGTTTAAGGAAGTCAGATGCCGTGATTCCGGAAGGAGCCGAATCCCATGGTGTTCAGTGCTTTTGCGTGTTCGATTGCGATTTATGTTTTTCGTAGTGATTGTAGGAGCCTTTCGATTGCTGTGATTTATGGGTCCGAACAACACGAAAATTGTATTTTCGGTGTTTCGTGCTTTTGTTCGGGACAAAACAGACACGAGGTCGCCAAGGGAGGACCCGTGCTTTGATCGCACATTCTTCGTGAGTGCTAGAAATGCGCGTCTCGTGTGGGTTCTTGCACATCGACTTTCCTGCAGAAGCCTCACATAGGGCCACTTCGGCGCCCGGATTTCTGTGTTGCAAGCGATGGTTAATCACCCCGAAGCCTTGCATTGCCACACAGCATCCATGCCAGAACCGTGATAACGTCCCGTTCCCGCGAATGTTCTTACACGAGCACTGCGCCTAGTTTTTTGCATCCGTTCCGTTGAGGTGTATGACGTCCGTTGCCACACGGTGCGCGGCCGCAGAGCATCCATGCCCGAGCCGTGATAACGTCCTTTTCCCGCAACAACTCCGTAGACGATAACTGAGTCTGCTTTTTACTTCCGTTCTGTTGGGGTGACAAGGGGGTGAGGGGGGGGGGGGGCCAATGACGTCCGTTGCCGTGCGGCACGTTGCCGCACAGCATGCATGGTTTTGGATCCCGGGCCGCCACCCCCCCCTCCCCCCCTTTGCATGCTGCCCTTCTGCTGCACGCCCGCCCCCGCCCCCGCTCGCCCCTTCAGCTGGTGCGCGGCTCGGGGGCGTCGCACTATGCCTTGCCGTGTGCGGAAAGCTGCAATCGGCACAGTAGTTTCCGGCATGTAACATGAATTGCAATGCTGAAACATGAGGGTGGTATGGCGATGGTGATGGTGGCGGGTATTCTTTTGATGGCATTAATGACGAAGATGACGACGACAAGGATGATGTTGAGCATGGTCTGATTGTCGACTCATGTCCCGGTCTAGAGCAGCACAACATCATGAGCAGTATCACCGGTGCCACGGCAAGAGGGAAGACAAGGAGTAACACATAAGAACGTCGCGGCAAAAAGAGTACCATGGGGTGGGGGGGGGAGAGGGGTGTGGCAGCCTTGCATCATGCATGCCCGAACCGCCGCGATAAGGTCCGGTTCCCACAAAGTGGTGTTGGACGACAACTGCGCCGACTGTAGTTTGCCCCTTTACTTCCCAACTGATTGTTCCTGTGTGGGCTCGCATGACATCGCAAGCCCTTTGAGAGCTGCAGGCTGTCACAAAGCAGCACAGTCTTGCGACTAGAGTCTTCAGACATATCTTTGAAGGACATACCGACCGGAGAGCCAGAAAAAGGTGGTTGCAGTGGTGCCGGTGGTGGTAGTGGTGGCGGTGGCGGTGGTGGTGGGGCGGTGGTGGTTGCTATTGTCGTTGTCAGTGTGATTTTGGTGATAGTGCTGACGAGTGTGAGTGTGATGATGATCCTGATGAGTCTTTCGATTTTACTGGCTATGATCATGATGTGTTGATGCTGATTCTCATGCTGGTGGTAGATGGTGGTAGTGATGGTAATAGTGATGTTGATAATGCTGATAGTGATGAAACTGGCGAAGCTTTGACGAAACTGGTGCAGCTAAACGTGACGAGGGCGATACCGCCGCCGACGCTGGCGAAGATGCTATTTGTTCAGCAGTAGAGGTGATGGTGATGACGACGACGATGATGACGAGGATGGTGCTGCTGATTGTACCGCTGATGGTGATGGTGATGATGATGGTGATGATCGTTTTCACGATGAGGATGACGATGTTGATGATAATGATGATGATGGTGATGATGCCGATGCCAACGCCGACGCTGCTGATGGTTTTGACGGTGGCCCAGATCACGATGGCATGACGACGATGCCAAGGGCGTTTGTGGTGGTGAGGGTGGCGGGGGCAATAGTGATGATGCCGCGGATGCGGACGTGCCATAATTCAGATCTTTAAACAAGGACTGGGAGTTTCAAGGAGGACCGGCGGAGTGGAGTCGATGTAACACCTCAACTGTGTGGTTCGTTTGGAAAGGCTGAGCTTGCGGAACTTCCGGGTCCACGGCAGCAGCCTCTACATCAAAGTGTCGCGGCCTCGAAGATCGAAGATTCTGAAGCACGGAAGGCTCATGAGTCCGCATCATTCAAAGAAGCAGAGCAGCATTGCCAAGAACAGCAAAAGCCACCACTTCAAACTCCTGAAACTGCAGAAGTCCGACCGCTGAGGTCGTGGCTCGTTTGCGGGTCCTGGAACCCTGGGGTGTGACCTGGCTGGGCTTTCCTGGATCAGTCGTTCTTGCTGGAAAATTCCAGGTCTGTTTCGCACTGATAGAAAATATTCCATTGCGAAGATGTCGAAGATCCTATGTCAGCTTGCCGGGCAGTGTGTCCTTCGATGCTCAGCGATCCTCTTTGGAGCTCATCCCCTGAGGGAGCCCTGATCAGGGCCGAGATAGGCTGAGAGTCAGAGTCACGGCCACACGACGTAATGCTATCTTTCGGAAATCCTAGTTTCTCCACGAAACGAGGATTCGGTTGCAGAACGACTCTGTGGCAGTGGTGGGAGGAGCACGGCTATTCCAAGGGTTCCTTCCTCTAAGGGAACCGCAGCTTGTCTTTATGCAATGGGCTGTTCCTGCCACAACCTTGAAGTTGTAGGCTTCAGACATGTTTAAAGCTCGGCACGCTACGTGCCAACTGTGCCGCCCTGTCGCGCAGGATCTCTTAGCTGCTCTAGGCCGGCCCTGCGGTGTCTTAGTAGGGTCTTGCTGCTCAACCCGAAGATATCAGAATCAGAAGTTTGCGAGAGCAGAAAGCTCATTGCGAAAAAGCATCTCGCAGGCAGCAGCCGAGTCCGCAGTAGAGGGAGGTCCGTGGCGCTGTTCGCAAACTTCCCGTAATTTCCCGTACAAGCGATTTGCACGCTAAGCTTCCCAGATCGACCCGTAGGCCCTCTGCTACCTTCCCTGGCAGTCAGACTGCTCACCCGTTGTTGAAGGCCCTCGCAAGGATGCTTGTCACGGCCTTGGCCACCACCGTTTCTCACTGTTACCGTGAGACCTGAGACTCTTCACTGTTTCTAGAGCCTCTGGAGCTTACGGTTAAGGCATAGAAAAGCCGAGGATCGGCGAGCTGTGCTTAGCGCTGGTGCCGCTGGCAGCGCTCTCCACCCTGTGCCACGCTCGGCCGGGGAATGCCATCAGAACTGTGTGTTCTTGGCCTGAGCCGAGGCTTTTAAGGTCCTTCCCCGGACTTTGCGTTATCCTCTTTTTCAGCCTCTACGGCGTCATACTCGTGGTGCGGCTGCTGATAGCGCGGGCCCTGTGTTAGCGATGGCATCGGATCGGGAAGGCCGGTTGTCCTCTGAAAATTGTGTGAGCTGTTGGGTCCCGTGGCGGCCCATGCAGAGCCGCTGGGAGCGTGCAGCTGTCTGCCGAGTCTACCATGCAGTGAAGTGACACATAGTGACATCGTAAGCAGAATCCGCGATGCGACCGTGCGAGCACTTGCTGAAATTCCCGTTGTCGGAACACCTTACTAGTCTCAGCTTTCCAGATCGCTCACAACAAAAGTGTTGGTTCCTTGCGACAGCACTGGCAAAGCCAATGTGTCTCTGACTCTGATGTCTCCCATGATTGCCAAACTGTACTCCTGAGGGTCGTCCGACCGATTTCCCCGAAATCATAGCAAACGTCAGAGCATCGGTCGTCCCAACGCTTTGGGAGGCTGGAAATCATTGGTTCCCACGTAGTTTGTGACTTTTAGACGTTCAAAGCATCGGCTTATCCGGTGTCTTGTAAGATTTGGGTTAAGGGATGCCACCCGTCAACATACTAAAAGTCCCGTCAACATGCCAAGAAGCCAATGAGACGTTGACATGCCAAAAATCAATCCCCGTACACATGCCAAGAAGATAACGCGTCAACATGCAAAACTGGGCCCGTCGACATGCCAAAAGTCAATTACCGTGGACATGCCTAAAAAAGCAACCATGGGCTGGTTTTCTGTGGGGCCGCTCTCTGTACAACTCATCCATCCAGGGGTCACATGGCTTTGTCTCCAGAGATCACATATTGCGGGCTTGTGCGGGCGGAGAAACATGGACGGTGAAAAATTGTAAATTGGCCCGTCAACGTGTCAAGCAGGGCCCGCTGCCGTGGCAAAGGCGCGAGCTAGGTCCTTGTGCGCTTTTTGTACAACTCATCCATCCAGGGTCAAATGGCTTTGTTTCCAGAGATCACATATTGCATGCCAAAACGTAGCTTAAACATAATACGTGTATGTCGAAAGCTGTCTCGGCATGCCGGCGCGCGCCTTAGCATGTTGAGGGCCCCTTCCCGTAAGGGCTGAGTGCCAACAACGTAAATGTTCGCCGCACCTCATGTTTGTCGTTTTTCACGCACTGCGGCCTCATTCCTGTCCTGAGCAGTTGCCAGAGTCCAGAAGTCAGAAGACATTGGAAGTTATGAGTTTTTGCCATGGATTCAGTCAATCACTTATGCAAAGGCTTGGGAGTGCAACGACAATAATTTACCTGGTAGTGACGACCAGCAGAGGCCCCGGCAACAATAGACAGCCAGTGGAAACAATCCATGCTGCTCGCCGCCTGACACAGGCAGAATGGGTCCATAATGTCGGTTTATACATGGGGATTGGCACCCCATATGTTTGTGTATGCAAAGACTTAGACACGTAAGCAGACATACAACACATGCGTATGTGCATGTGTTTATGCAAAAAGTCATGTACATGCATATATGCAGATACTCATATACATGCATATGTGCACATGTATACATGTACGACATCTGGACATACATTAATGTGTGTATATATATATACACATATACATATTACATATATATATACACATACATACATACATACATACATGCATACATGCTTAAATATCGACATACCGACAAACATGCATACATACAAAATCATGCAGATATACATACATACATACATACATACACACATACACACACACACACATGTATGTGCGGATGTATGTCTGTAGGTAGGTAGGTACAGGGTAGGTGGTAGGTATGTATGTATGCGTGCATGCATGCAAGAATGCGTCACATACATCGAGTTGCAATCTTGCTTTCCACCGATCGTCAGCAGATGGCAAAGGTCCCAGAGCTGGAGGAGCTCAGGGAATTTCTCCTCACGTCCTTTGCGGCGTATAGCTGGGCACCCAGAGCCTTGGGACGAGTTGTTGCGAAAGGAGTTAGGTTGGGTGTGAAGTTAACCGCCAGAGCTTGGAATCCAGCTGGGCCGCCACCACCATAGGTAACTACGACCACTCGTCGGTCGTCAGCTTCGGTCCCTTGCAGACATTTTCCGAATTTTGCACCTGTCGGAAGCCACACACGAAGCCAGGCGTGCACTCACTGTCTAAACAGATCCCTGACGAGATCAGAGCTTCCTGTGATGTCAGGTTCCGCTGGCTATGCCCTCGTGATGCTGCTGCAGCTCAGCTCGCAGACTCTACAGACAGACTGTATTGCACAATGCTGCGCAACGCAACGGAATTTGTTCGGAGCATGAGCATGAGTGGAATATGCAGTTGTGGAGTAAGGGAAGCATTCGAACATTCAATCCGGACGCTGGATTGCTGCTTTGTTTCTCTCAGTTGTGGCACGAAGAGCCGGCAAATGCCTCGCGCAAGGATTGTCCACCCACACCCGCCACACTCAATACCCAGCTGAAAATCACATGTTGCATCACGGCTCGAAGCTTGAGCCGGTGTTGCGACCAAGGGGTCGCAACCCCCGCTGCTGCAGATTGAAGTTCGAGGTAAAGCCTGCACTGTGATGCAGCCACCGAGGCACTTGTGCGGCCGGGACACTGAATGGACGGAGGCCAGGGCAGTTTGGCAGCGAAGCGAGCTTCCTCATGGACCTGCAAAGGACTTGAAGCGCTGGGCAACCGTTTTGGTTCGAAGCCCAGATGCGACGATGCTGACGGCTCACTCCACGCACCACACTTTGCGCGCTTGCAGTGGTGCTCTTCGAGTTGCTTCGGTTGGAGGATTCGTGCGTGCGGCGTTCATTTAGTCGGACTGTGCATGTAGATCAATCTGTAGCCCGATTGGATGAGACCGGCTTCAGGAACACTCGATCAAATCGGCTTCAAGGGCTCTCCAACATTGGTGGGACTGGACTGGTGACCTGAAACTCATGGTTGCTTTCGCTCAAGTTGTCTTGTTGACCTTCTGCTATTACCTCCGCAGTTAGCAGCGATATTGAACGCTTGAGGATGCCTGTTCCAAGCCAGCTCAACAAAGCCGCTTCGTGACCGTGGTATGGTCAGGTGTCTGTGAGCTTTTGCGCTGCAGCACAGCTTCGCTTGGACATCCCAGAGGCTGTGGAGGTCGGAAGCTCGCACTCTAGGCACTAGCGATAGCTTTCATGGCCGAATGCAAAGGGCACATAGCAGAGCCTGTTGCATGGCACTTCACATTGGTGGGATGTTGCAGGGTCCAAGCCAAGGCAAAAGTGATTAATGTTGAGAACTGGGCTGCCAGACTAGAACATGCAACAGAAAGGCCGAAGATTTGCCCGACAAAGGGTCATTCTTGTAGCTTGCTCTTTGACGTATAAGATCGTCAGAAGCGGAGAACACTGTGATTGGATGGCTGCTTCGAATTGTATCTTCAGACATGGTTCAACAGCTTATCGAGGTCTGGCGCTGGGCGGTCTTTGCAATTTGTGGTGTTGCCCTTCAACTGCTGGGCGTCGTCGGCAGGAGGACCCAGGGTTTCCCAGCAGATGGTGCTTTGGCTTTGGGCTTGGGATCCACATTGACATGCTCTTGCCTCTTGCTTGCACGCTGAGTCTACGTTGGAAAAGTTATATCAATTCGCCTGAAACAAGGAAGGAGGAATGAAGTAAGTAGTACCTTCACAGAGCCTAGAATTCTGCTCCCTGTATCAATCTTGCTTTGCAGCATTGCCGCTGAAGACTCGAAAGAAAAGGAGACTGCCCGCGGTCGTGGGACACTTGGTCCTCCTGCTCGTGCTGGGGAAGCACCTCGGACCGAGTTTCGCAACATAGCCAAAGCCGTCTCCAAGAGTTCTTCCTTTACAGTGAAGTTCAAGTCAGCTCGAGTCCGAAGCCAGTCCAAAAAACGCCCCAGAGGATCATTTGTTATCTTGCATCGAAGACGAACCGCTATGACGGTCACGGCGATACGAGTGACGAGCTCCGGGTAGTGCAGCGGGGCGGCAGGGGCAGCGCCGGAAGCCGAGGCTTGCGCTGGAGGTGCTCGAGCACCTCACGCCGACGCCAAGCGCCGGCCTTGCAGCCCGGGCCTCGGCTCTCGGACACAACTGGCCGTCTTTCAGGGAGAGATAGCTAGATAGCTTGCACACGCACAGCCTCAGGCCCAACGCGCTATCCAGCTTGCTTCCCTTGCGGTCCTCTTCGGTGCAGCGGGGACCCCGGCAGCAACACTGCGTCAGCATTTGCTGGGTCTAGATGGAGGTTGGCCTCGATGCTTTGGATGATTCAACAGCGCATGTAGAGTTCAACCTGTTCTCTGCGTTTGCTGTCTCGGCTAGGTCCCATCGCCAGAGTCCGTTCCGTACAAACACGCGGGAAACATCCGCAGCGTGCATCCGGCACCTGGGAAGGAGGCCGTACTGCAAGGGCTCGTCGGGCAGACTTCTGCAATCTTCTGTACTGGGGCCTGCCATGAATAACAGGAGGCAGACCAGGGACGAGCCACCGCTTACGCCGTACGCCTCGTATGCCCTCTTTGCAAAGATCGTGCTGGCAAACTGAGACCAGCACTATGACCTGATAAGTCTTCGATCCAAGGAGTAGTGTTGCCCCAATGCTTAAGGCAAGCGAACATACGTCGGATTGCACTCCCTCTTGGACGATCTGCCCTTCTCGCATCACATTCACTCGTGTTGAGTGCTTTGCCCCTCCGCCGTCCGATAAATCGAGAACACCAGGGCGTCGCAGGGCGCATTATCGTCTTCAGGAAGAACGAGCAAGCGAGGGAGCGTAGTGATAAATGATGCCATCCTAGCGAGCAAGCAGCAGAGATCCTTTCCATCTTTGATGACCTGTGACACGTTTCCGTGTCTGCCGTGCGCAAGCAGCATCGCCAAGCGACTGCACCTGAACGAACGGCCCAGTTTTGAGCAACAGCACACACCGTAGCTTACCGCCAGTAAAGCCCGCAATGTGCAGTCATGTTTCTCCGCAAGGATGTCGGCCACTCACTTACGGCCGTGCTGTTTAAACTTTCTGCATGAGTTTTAGTGTTTTCGCCGTGAGCTACTCGCATTCCGATCAGGCTGCACACCAGTGACTTGATGCAGTCTGCCAGGCAACAAGCGGTTCCAAAGAACCCACCAACCAGCGGGCCAAGGCAAGGCGCTTCATGTGGTCAGACTCCGAAAGCACAAGCAGGCAAGCAGGCCTGCCCGCTCCTCCGCCCCTCCTTCTTCCCTCCCACCTACCCAAGCACCGACCTGCCCTACCTGCCTGCCTACCTTCCTGTCTAGTATATACATACCTACCCGACCGCCCACCTTACCTGCTTACCTCCCTACCTATTCATCCTATCTCTACCTGGCTACACTCACCTACCGACCTATAGCTCACACCTACCTTTTCGTACCTACTTCCGATGCACCTACCCACCCATGTTACGGACCAGTCGACGACCGACTGACCTACCGACCGACCTACTTACTCAGACATACCCACATACCTACAGGCATACATACGTGTATACCTCACATTGCATTGCGATCACAGTACTTCACATGTGGTTGATCACGTCACGTCACCTCAAATTCCGTTACATCACAACACGTGGTATGTTGAGTTTCAATTACAATACATACAGCATACATGACGTACTTACATACCCTTACGTACATACGTATGAAGCACCCGAGAGTAAGTACGTAGCATGCGCCCACACGGATGCAGGATACACAGCCTGCAGATGTGTATGCCGAGAAAGAAGCGCGTGTAAAGTTTTCAGGTGGAACTCGGGGATGACGACCTCGAAGTCTATGAAAAGACTAACCAAATGGCGCAGCACCTCCAGGCCAGAGGACTGCAGGGCAGGTGCGAAAGACACGGATTTGACTGCTGATATGGCATCGGGCCCAGTTGCGAAGCACTAGATTTTTGTGCTGTGCTGTCGAAGCGCCACATGATGACGGCCATGGTGGTGCAGGCGAGCGACGCCGAGGCGCGCCCAGCAGACGACCCCGGCAATGCCATGCTGGAGCTTGAGGAGGCGGGAGAGTGACGTTACCTCACGGCCTGACTGTCACTTCCTGTCTTTACAAGTCGCCATGCCTACTGACCAGGAGTCTGGTGTGGCCTCTGATGAGGAAGTTTGATACCACCTGTAGCGACTCGTTTGGAACATGGCCCCTCAAAGGCATACCAAGAGTCGTCCCAGACCTCGTACTTGTACCCCTGCATCGGGAGCTCGGTCTCACGTGTGTCGTCAGTCTCACCAAGTTACAGGGTTCTTGGTGGCTTGAGCCATCTAATGAAGTCTGGGAGGACACCACGCGCAGTTGAAACGGTATCCATCCTTGCTGAAGACACTGTCCTGGAACGCGTGCTAAACGAATGAGAGAGTGAGAATAAGGTTAGGGTTTAGGGTTCATCCGGGGGTTACGCGCGAATCGGCTCGGGAGTCCTCAGTGCTGGGAATTTGCAAAATTCGCTGCATGTCCTCCCGGAGCTCCTTTGCCACGAGAACCCTTCTTCAGGCGCTCTTGCTGAAGGCAAGGGCCAAGAGGAGGGCAAAAGTCACAGCGTTGAGAACCAGCACATACGGCTGGCAGCTCATGGAGAAAGTTGGCATCCATAGTCACAAATTCCGGAGCCCAGAGCACGTATCCTTAAACCGGACCTTCATGCCTGACCTGCATTCTGCATTCATGTAGTGTTCATCATGCTTGGCATTCCGTCGGCTCGGATGAGGCGGTTCGTGGTTCTCCGAACTGCTTTGGGCACAGCGCGGTGGGACTGGCACGACTATCCGAACAGTTTTGGCCTGGGGGTCGGCTCGGAGCACGTGTTCGGAACACAGAAACAACGTTCCAAAACGAAACCGAGGCCCGGCAGCGCCCTGGACCCGCGGCAGGAATCCAGCGAATCCGGACGAAAAGTTGTTTCAAAGCCTATTCAAAAAACCTGTTCCACAACTTGCTCCGAATTCGCTGGACTGCCGCAGCAGCAGCCCCTTGAAGTCCGGCCTGCGACTGCTCATGCAACGGCCTTCCACCTTTCTGGTTGGAGTCTGTGTGTAATCTGTGCATCCCAGGGACAGCAGCACTACGATGAGAACCCACCAAACAGCTGGAGACTGATCCTCCGACTGGATTCGACCAGCATCTGCAGCCTTTGTAGCCAGGCTCTGCGACCAAACACAGCACAATCGGTCGTCCCTGGAGCCGATGATTCCATGACTGTCAACTTTCACTACAGTGTGCTTGAATACTATGCTGTCGCACTATGTTCTGATTACGCCGCAAGTTACACGTCAAGATCCGCAGACAGCGAATCGATTAGCCTTGGATTGGAGCTTGCAAATCGGTCCCGGTCCGAGGAAGGAGGGTTGGGAAACCGCTTCGGTTGGCCCCCGCCCCATGCGGATGTGATGGCGTTCTGTGTTGGCTAGTGGACTGGACGTTTCGACTACGCAAGCCCTGCGCAGCCTCATGCGCAAAGCTGCAAACACCAACTACCGGCGACCGGCGGTGTTACGTTGACGGCGTGGCACAAGACAAAGAGAAGCCCAGAGCACAACAAGGGCACAGCATCGTTGAGTGCACGTGGCGTGCGAAGTGAACGGACATCAAAGCAGCTTAGCAGACCAAGCCTCTGAAGTCTCGAGGATACTAGTAGAACTTGGTCCTGTTCCAAACTGAAGGCAGCGTAGGACATCAACGAGGCTTCAGGAAAGCTTCCCAGACCTCTTTGAATCCTTAGAACCGGAGCAGGGAAGCCGGCTCAAGTGTGCGTTTATCGCCCCGGAACAGTTTTTGCATGTTCCGCTGACGGGCTCAAAGAGGTTTCGGGAGTCCTAGACGAGTAGCTTCTTTCCTCTTTGTCAGCATGCGCACCGTGTGCCCGGTGCTGGCCACAATTCCGGCAAGTTGCATGGCGCAGTGCGCGTACAACGACATGACCAGTGGTCTTCGCAGCGACTTCGCTGACAAGGCGAACCAGTGCAGGTCACTTGGTGCGGAATGTGCACTGACAGGTGTGACGGTCGGCGGAATTGAATCTTGTGAAGCATTCGGCATGAGCTGCTGCCCGGCAACGACAACGACGACATACGCAAAAGAGTTATGCAGCACGATCATATCTTTCGACAAGTGTAATGCAGCATGCAATGCTGTCTTTGACCAAAGGTCGACTTCGTATAGCTCCTGGTTCAAGTGCAAGGTCAATGATGCGTCATGCTGTGATGGCCCGTTTGTAGTGTCGGAAGCGTTCAGCTTGGCCGCATCTGCTGCAACAGTAGTTGCAGCAGTCGTGGCATCGAGCGGATACGATTGAGGCACGAGCTGCTTGGGTGCACAGCTCGACAGGCGTTATATCTTGTTTTGCTGAGTGCTCCTCGCACACAGCGCGGTGTCTCCTGCAATGCGTTATACTTGGGATGACATGGAGCTCTGGCCATGTTGGGCCACTGTCGTGTTGGCATCCGAGACGGCTTCGAAAGCCACAGCAGGCGACCGGCAGCACGCCGCGTGCCGCGAATCTCTGCCCAGATCGGGGCTCCCGAGGCAAGTGCGGCCGAAGGAGACAAGTCATAACTGCTTTGTGGCCCAGGCCCTGGCCCTCTGTTCTTTCTGTGACATGAACTTTGTGGCAGCAGCACCGCATACCATTGTTTACGAATGCAGAGCTCACCGAGTCCTCGGTTGGTGCCGTGATACTCTGAAGCTCCGGCAGCTGCTCAAGGGCTGCAAGGGCCAAGCTCTTGGAGGCAGCTTAATTGACGCTGCTTAGGAGCCGGCCCTCTAACTTTTGCTATGTCGGCTTCGTGCTCTTTACATACTTGGTGTGATGCTTCCTTGTTGGGTCTTGCGCGGCTTGCAGAGCCTGCAGGAGCCTTGCCGGGGTTGGCGTTTTCCATGTTCCTGCGGACTGCGCCCAACGCTTGCTTGACGATGACAACTCTGCAGGGGGACACAGCGAAGATGCAGTCACAGTCAGCTCCACCAATTTTCACACCTCAAAGTCGACCCGCCCGGGGACTGGCTCAAGATTCCATATATGAGGTGATGAAGTTCATGAAGCACTATCGTCCTTTGCTTTGATGTAAGCTGTGACACACACACACACACACGGTTTCTGGAGCATCACTCTGAGACAGACCATCCCAGGCTGCTTGTTTAGCAAAACGGCTCCACAGAATCTTGGTGCCATGGCCGCTCCGCTTGGAGCTCGGGGATGTCCTTACGCACATCAGACAAAAAAGAGAGAGAGAGAGAGAGCTAAACCCGGAAGAGAGAGAGAGAGAGAGAGAGAGAGATGAGAGGCGGCATGTCGCCCAGGTCTCGGCCAACCGCAAAGGCACGACCTTGGGATGGGACATCACTGATGCAACAAGGCAGGTAAGGCAGCAGTACAGCGAGAGACACGAAGTGCAGCCAACGAAAGCAGTTCCGCCCGCGGCGGGGGTGGGGCTCGCCCCGGCATCACCTGAATAGCACAGTAAGAGACGACGTGACAGTGCAAGGTGAAACTCAGCGATGGGTTGGTGCCGACCCTGGTCAGCTGTTTGGGGCTTTCGGCATTGTCCAGAACTTGGTGGGAGCTGCTCTCAATGTCGTGGAATGTGAGGTGCAGAGCCTGGCCGTCGGCAAGGTCTACCGGGACCACAAAGGCCCAGTTAGTGGGCCTGTGCCTCATGGGCTGCCAACTGCCGGCTCACTTAGTCTACGGATGTGGCGGTTGCCCAGGATGGACTTCACATACGACGGCCAGCACTTGGTGACTTCCGGCGAGGACCCCTTTTGGTCGGAAGCCCGAACCGGTGCCTTGCGTGAGTCGACGACATTACCAGGTTGTGACATATACTGTATCTGCTCAGTACTTATATGTTGGAAGTTCGCTTTACCACGTTCTGAGTGGCCTTTACAGGAGGTCAACTGTATCATGCACTTGGCAACTTTATCCTGCGCACTTGGCTACTTGTATCGTGTGCACTTGGCTACTTTATGTTCTGTACTTGGCCACTTTCTCTCGTCCACTTGACTACTTTTATCTAGTTCACTTGGCTACTTTCTCCTGTACTGGACTACTCTCTTTCTTCACTTCTTTGGGGTTAAGGTTTTCAAGTTATTCGCGGAGTCGGGTGTTATAGGCTTTTTGGATGTAGTCGGCTTAGGCCGACAAGGCCAAAAATATGGGCCAATTTGAGTTGTTTGGGTCCTGGTCACTTGACCATTTTTCGCCCCAGAAAAGAGTCAAGTAGACAAAGGTGCCAAGTGCTGTAAATTACGGCACTTGGCCTTTTTCCCGTCCTGGCACTTGACTATTTTCTCGGCCCCGAAAGTAGTCAAGTAACCAGAGAGTCCGGAGGGGATTCGGACCCCCGAAATGGTCCCCGAATCAGCACAGAAACACAGGTGGCCCGCCCAAAAATCTGGCTCGTAGGTTTGTCTTTGTTACTTGCACCAGTACAGTGGCGGGTAGTGTATGTAGTAGCGAGATTTTGGGATTTGGGCCCCAGTAGGATGCCAAGTAGAGGCACAGAAAGAAGCCAAGCAGAGGCCCAGAAAGAAGCCAAGTAGAGTCCCAGAAAGAAGCCAAGTAGAGGCCCAGAAAGAAGCCAAGTAGGGTACCAGATTCCTGTAAAGAAAACATGTTAGAGGAAAACCCCAACTTATATGTTGCACATTTCAATCATTTTCGCATAGTGTCGCCCTTCGCAGCACGAAAGGAGTGTCATCCCGCAACCTCTCTTCATGCAAGTTGTGTCTGCGAGTGAGTACGTTCACACAATCTCTCACACCATGCGAGGACAAGAGCGTCTACGTCTACTCCTGCGAGAAAGCGGGTCGCGCCCGGCACCTCCGCACCCTTGACTGCACAGAGGGAAAGGAAAGCTGAAGGAAACGTGAAGGGCTTCCTCGGTCCTCGGTCTCTCTGTCGGAGGCTGCGAGAAGTACGGCGTGGGCTTGATCCGTTTCCTCCACAACGATAGGCTTCCAGCCCTCGCTTACAGGTCGTACTCTAGGCTTTGATGCTGGCTATGCCGCTAAGCTTGCTGTTTAACACCAGTCAAGCGTCCATCCTCACAATTGCGCTTCACCGCAGGGACTGTGCAGTGGCTGCCTCCCGGAGCGAGGCGCGAGTGCAGGGCAGGCGAGTGGTCGCTTCAAAAGGTGATTGGCAGGGCAGGGCTACAGGGCAAATGACGCCGAAGACGAGCATTTCTTCGCGCGGGCGCACTTGCTCGTCACGCTCTTACCGAGGCCGAACACCTCCTCAAGTACTGGGACTTCCACGACAATAAATATCTGCGCCGGGGACCCGCTGCATCGCAGGGCTTACAGCGGCGCTCAGGGAGACACTGACTGCCAAGGACTCTTCCGCAGCCACACCGCCAGAGTCACCTCGGCCGTGTGCTGAGAGCCAAGCCAAGGCAGACTGGGACACTGAGACTCTTTGCAAAGGTGAGCCCCCACCCCTACGAGGAGACTCTGAGATGAGAGGCCTTCACTCTCGCTGTCCACGATCCTTCTCTGCAGGACCTCTTCCTGTCAGGCTCTGAGGACGCGGATGCAAAAGCCACGAAGTGTGTTAGAAACGGATTCCAGCATCTCTTTTGCGTAGGACCGTGCGGTGCTCCTCTGGGACCTGCGCCAGGCAAGGGGCTCTTGGGGATCATGTATTTGTTTCCGAAGCGAGTTTTCCAAACGAAAGGAGCGGCCCGTGGCCAAGATCAACGGCCAAGGCAAGCTCCGTGCGGAGCTGCGCATGGATACCGACAGCGACCGGAGAGACTGGAGCTCATTTGCCGTTTGAGGCACCACCATCGCCAGCTTCGACCAGCCTCCCAGCGACAAATCTCACACCCCTTCGCCTCTGCCTTCTGCATAAAGCTTTGGCTCAGGCAGGGGCTAGTCTTTGCAGCGTGTGTGGGCCAGCCGAAGTTGCACCTCTTCGACACACGGAACTATGCTAAAGGCACTGCCGTCTTTGAACTCCTTGAAGTCCTTTGCCTCTCCCCTCCCTTGTGCAGGAGAGTTCACCTCCTTCGACCTGCGGCCGCATGTGCCAGACCAGGCAGAAGTAAATGAATGTCCAGCTCACGAAAGAATGCTGTGCGGCCTCAAACCCGCTTGCTGGCCCCTTGCGCCCCTGGGATAGCTGTGCTCCTCTCTGACAAGTAGCTCATCTGGAGGCGCAGTTCGTAGCCTTCAGCCCCTGTGGCAAGTACTTGCTGGCTCGCACACGGCTGGGGCACTCAGGGACTCCATGTCGAGCTGCCTAGCCGTTTCATTCGCTTCTTTACGACATGTTATGTCGCTGGACGAGGGAGGCATAGAGTGATTCGAGGGAGGATATGGGAGGATGCAGGACCGGGATGGATGGATGGAGCAGCTTGTCAGCATGCTGCACGAGAAGGTCTGCTGCAAATGAGTGTTCAGAACACGAGGTCACAGATGGTCCTGATCGATGCCTTTGATGGCGAGCGCCTCCCCTTGACCAGCAGATAGAGAGTGCACCCCCATCGAGCTTGATACAATCACGAGTGGTTACCATGGCGCTGGGAGCGGAGCACCCTGAGCCCTTAGTCGCTAAGGTTGATCTGCGAATATCCTGAGGAAGCACCGCAGAGCACTCCGAGCGCGGGGAGCGCCGCCCCCGTCGCCTCTGTTCCGAGCTTCTCCCCGGACTCTCAGTGCCCCATCGAGCCGTTTGTAGCACCCCTCAAGGCATTTGCGACGAGTAGCCTAATTGCATCGGGCGGCTCCAGCAATAACATGCGCAAGGGAACTTCACTTCAACCCAGTTTTTCAGGTTGTTGATGAAATTGGAGTAAACGCTGTAACTGGAACCAGAGGCTTGTAACAGGTCATTTTGTTTCACGAACTGATTGAAAATGTTTCGGAAAACAGGCCCGAGCTGTAGCAGGAAGTGCTGGCAGACCCGCACCCGGAACCGGGGGGCCTTGCAACGGGAACTGCCTCTCCAACACGACCTACACAGGTTCTATTAGTCCAGCCTCTGAAAAAGGATGAGAAGACTTTATTGAAGGAGTGCACGAAAAAGCAGTAGGACTAGTAAAAGACATCAAACGAAAACTTACACTTTCACTAATAAAGATGCACATGGTGATGGGTCCCATTTGGGAATGATTGCAATTTTTTGGCCGATAGAATGCCTGCAGAACGGGGAATGTCGTTAGAGAATGAAGAGTCAAATCTCTAAGGCTTGATTATGTAACAACTAGTAGCATTTTATGGAGTGGTGTCGTACAGTCTACTTTAGCTGAGATAAACGATGCTTGGAAAAAGGAAATGCGCAAGTTAAACATGTACGTAATGGTCATCACGAACATCCTAAACCAAGGCTAAAGCAAGTACGTATAAACAGCGTTTAGTGTGTGTATGTGTGTGTATAATATATATACATATATATATATATATATGTATAAATACATGTATAAATACATGTCTAGCATTGATGAACAAATTAACCGACAACTCAATAAACAAATGGAGAACATCAAACGAGACTTGATAGTGTTTAAGAGTATTCAGCATTTCATAGATAAACTAAAGTGTCTATAGCGCGACGTGGAAGATTTAGAACCAGAAGAGGTGTGGAGGAGGAGGGTGAGATCTTCCCTACCATTGTTGATACTTTTCGTTGTTTCAGGGTTGATCATGATGTTAGCAATAATCTCGCTCTACCGGTTTTAAGTATTCTTGATGGTTTGCTTGGAACAACCGAAATCTTAAAGTCTCAACCCAAAACCAGGCTTCGGTTTCGTTGTCCGGCTGGTTTTCGTTATAACTCCCGCTGGTAACAGTTACTAGCCCCACCCCAGTTCCTGGTACATGTGCCCCCTGGTTCATGTTACGTCTTGGTCGGTTCCTGAAACGCGGTTGCCGTCACGTCGTGTGTTGGTTCCTGTTACAACCGTCGCCCATGAAATTGTTGGAAATACTTTTTAGACTCACTAGCGTGTCGAATGAAGCGGCACAACGCAAGACGCTAGAGACCTTGTCTCCAGATTACGGCAGCACTGGCGCAGACGTTTTGTCACCTGCACGACCGGACATTCTGGCGATCGCGCCGCTGTTACCAAACGATTGCCTCGATCGTCGCTGGTGTCTCAAGAAGCATAGCATAACACGGTCTCCACACCATCGTCACGGCAAACATCGGCGTCCCGGCCTTGCGGAAACGATTTGTCGTGCACAAAATCGTCAGGAGAGTGTTTTTTGGACGCAGAAGGCGAGTTCGAGACGAATTGGCGAAGCGGCCTAGCGCCTAAACATCAGCGTTTTCTCGTACCGCAGGTACGTCCTGAGCGGCCAGCCCAATGGTGACGTTTGCGTCTGGGCCACGACCAATGCCCCGGGCCCCGGCGACGAAAAAAGCCGAGAAGAGCGAGAGAAGCGAGCGAGAGAAGTCGTTGTGTTTCGTTGTGTTTCCTCTCAAGCCGCTCCCCGAGGCACGGCTGGTGCATCGCCTCGAGGGCCACACGACGACTCCAGGCCGTGTGCTCTTCAGCCCGGCTCATGCTCTCGTGGTCACGGCGGCAGAGACTCTGGTCAGCGACTGAAGCGAAGCGTGGCTCGAAGTTGCAGTTTGAGTTTTGCCGCTGTGAGCACAAGGCTTGGTGGATTCCCGACACAGTGCCTTGGCTGCATGGGGCCGTCTTGAAGCCCTTGCCTCGCACAAAGCTCGCAGAGGCTCCGCCGTGAGCCGCTTGTGGGGTGAGGCTTCCTTGCAAGAGGAGCACGAGGTCCAAAAAAATCGGTCTGCAGCTCTGAGAAGTTCTTAGACACGCTGCCCGACATTTCCTGTGGATCAGTATGTCCGCATCGTTGTCGCTTAGCATCGTTCCCAGGAGCAACTGGTTAAGGGACTAAATTGCAATTCTGCAACTCACTGACAAGTCCTGCAGCCGAATCTTCCGTTGAGCCGAGAACTTCAGATACTGAGGGCTTAGGTGTACAGTGAGTTTGGAAGATGCATGAATCACACCTTCCGAGAGCAACCACCAACCACCACTGTGACACGGCAAACATATCACTCCGAACTCTGCGCACCTGCCATGTCTGGTTGCGGTGATGCTGAGGGCGTTGCACCCAGAGACTAGAGATTAGAGTCCCCGCAACAAGAAAGAGACGCGTAGCCTTGAAGCCTTGGAGGTGACTCGGTCTCGGTCGGATCGAGCGGCTGCTTGGAAGGCTTGGCAAACTGCCTTCAGGGCCTCGCTGGCCTCGCGAAAGCCAGCGCTCTGCGAGAGCGTCTCCCGGCAGAGCTGCAGGCCGGGGGCCGCCCGAAAGTACGCAAACGTGGTTTCAAGAGAGCCGACTTTGGGGCGTCGATGCGACAGGATGCCAAGGCCAAGGCCGGAGCGGAGGTGGCGACTGCCGATCCCGTGCTGGAGGCCTCTGCTGCCTCTGGCACAGCCCCGGCGGTGGCCTTGGCATCTACTGTGAAGCACCGAAGGCATCTTCAGGCTTCAGGCACATCCAAGAGCATGGCGCGATGCATCAGGTCTGGCATCGCGGTATCTCTTTGTTTCTCTCTCCCTCTCCAAATTCTGCACATCCTTATCTCTGCCTTAAGGCCCGCCGGCGAAAAGTGGCTAAGCAGGCCTCGGCTTGAAGATGCTTGGGGGGACTGACTTGCTCTTCAGTGGCGAATCGGTTTGCAACAGACGCCATGCAGCATCGGCTGTATCATGGGACGCCCAGCAACACATGCTGACCTTTGGCATCTCTCCCAATCTTAGGTCAGCAAATGCACTTATGGACCATGGGAGACGAACGGATCAGCTCAACTGAATCGGCCGATTCAAGCTTTTGCCGCGCAATCATGCGCAATAGGGTAATGAACCTGAAACCGTCCACATCGCAATGTATCGCATGTTGAAAGTCCATGTTTCCGATTCTCGCGTCAGAGCAGGGACACATTTGAGTCAGCAGCGCCGGGCGCACAACGTCAATGTATCGCTGCTGATTCGATGCCGTGGCACATGCAAAAGGCCACCCTGGCCGCGGTTAGGGTTAGCTGCATCTGGACGTCCCCGTCCTGAACCAAAGTGCGTATTGGGGCAACGAGGCGATCTGCCGGTTCCGTGTGGAATTTCGCGGAAAGCTGGTTGCTGACGTCTGTCGGCAACCTCCACAACAATCCTGCTCTTCTCAAAAACGTAGCAGAGCCTCGTACATATAGCTTGTGAGAAGACGGAAGGTGCGTGAGCCGGTGCGGCAAGCGGATCCGAGCCCAGAAGGGCTTCCTTTTGTGCCGCGGGAGGAGAGCTCAGCCACGACTCCACGACACGGTGCCCCGGTTTTGCCTCTCGGCAGGACCCAGCCTCCCGGCCCTTTTGGTGTGGCCGCTGGCCTGGGGCCCGCAATGCTGAGCTCTCAGAGCAGTGTTGAATATTCAGATCTTGCGTGCATCATGGGGCCCTGAACATTTTCCAAGGGCTTCTTGGGCTGTTGAAACTCCGTGAGCATTGACATGTCAAGAAGCTGGGCCAGTTGGGCCCGCCTTGACAAAGTTATCTACTTTCGACTGTTAAGCCTTGTGGTGCATGTACCCCTAAAGATCTAACAACTGTTCGCGAGGGCACCACGACTCCCTCCTGACTCTATATGGGTAGTTGTCAAAATCATGGTCCCTTTTTGGGTCCCTATTATAATACGGCACGCAATATTTAGGAATTTAGGGTAGCCAAAGAAGGGACCTCATTTTTGACAACTACCCATATAGTTTCCCGTAACGGGAAAGAACGCAGTCGTTCAGTCGTTCAGACGCAAAGTTGTGCCGAATGTTTCTCTTTCTGCTCACATGGGTCAAGCTAATTGGGGCCTTTGACGCTTGATGGCCAGTGTATTTTGATGCAGCGATTTGCAGACACATCCTGATGCAGGCAGAGCACAGAGAAGTTGCAAAATTGGAGAGCGCACTCACGCGCAATTCGCATCACGGCGACAGACCCACACCCATCCACCGATTCTGGAGAATGGCAAGATTGGCAGCTCGTGTTGCCCCTGGGTGCTGCAGCGATGACAAGACCACAGCCGAAGTGGGATGCGGGACGAGAGATGACGAGCTCGTGAAATAAAGTGGCCATCCAACATGCGCCTGGGTCAGCTGCATTTGCGAAAGCACAGCCACAGTCCTATGCCAGCCCGCAGGCCAAAGTCTGTCTATGTGAGCTTCCTATCGGAGACATTCGGAGACCACAATTGTTACGCCCAAAGAGTAAATCAGAAGGGAACTTCGTGTGCGGAGCACCTCGGATGTCTGCTCCGCTCTCCAACAAGAGGGTCGTCTCAGACGACCGGAAGGAGAGCCGAGAGCCCCTCAGGGGCTGCCGGGCTCGGGCTGCCAGCTCAGTGCTGTGCCGAGGACTACGAGGGCGAGGCCGGTTTCCGCTTCCTCGTCCACCTGGACTGCGAGGCCCGCGACGAGCGCCCGGCCGGAGCAGCAATACGGAGACAATCCCTGCGACAGGTCACGGCGCTCGGCCGCCCCTGTGAGCCACCATTGATGGAGGCTGGCCCGAGCCTGCACGAGTCTATCTGGGTTTTCGGGTTTTCCGTGCATTTCTTTGTCTTCGTGTTTGTTTGTTTGTGTGTGTGTGTGTGTCCATGTGTTCTGGTGTGTATTTGTGCTAGTGTTTTCTTCGTGCTCGCACCCTCAAATTCCTCAGGATTCCCATAATGTGAACTAGGCTACATGATGATCATAGTTGTATTCTCTTTCGCCAATGAATGAATCTCCTTCGCAGGCCGCAGCTGTCTCTCTGTGGCATGCTGCATCACAGGCACTCGTCAGGGAGTGAGGTCCTATGTCGGTTGATCAGTACTTTACCTTTAACGCCGCCGCCCGCCTCACCGGCACCCAAAATGTGAAAGAGCAGAGCGGATGCAGAAGTCGGAGAGGGGGCGGGGGGGTGGGGTGAAACACTGAATGTTACACATCTAGGTTCCTGTCTGTTTCACGTATCACTTGCATGTATCCATGCCTGTTGCTCAAGGTTCTAGCGCAGTGGACTACAGCTGTGCGCCTGTTTGAAAAGAGACTCCTGAGTGTCTGTGTTCCTGTACGCGTAGCGAGGGGATGCACGTCCAGGTCACATCTCAACGTGGCAGCGGACCTTTCTGGAAACGGGAAGCTTCACAGCGGTGGAGGTACCCGTCGGTACGCTCCGTACGGGTGGAGGCAACCGGAATACCAGGTGTGCTTCACACAGGTGAAGGTGACCGGAGTTTTTCCGGCACACTACACACAGGTGAAGACAGCCGGAAGAGTAATCTCCCGGGGCTCGATCCGAGGACAGCGCAATGGCTAGCCACTCTGCGACTATCTTTGAGCATGGTGAAGGAGATGAAGATTACCTCCTTCATGGAAGTGAATCTTACGCGACGAATCATCGTCATCTCAATGAATTACACGGTCTCTCAGCTTTCCAGCAGGTGACCACAAAAGTACCGCCATCATATGATGGACGAAGCACTTGGTTCGCCTATGAAGATGCGATCGATGACTGGTGTGACATCACTGAGCTTGATGCTGACAAGAGTGGACCAGCTTTGAGAAATCGGCTAGAAGGTGAAGCAGCCATCCACAAAAGGCTTCTCGACAGGGATCGCGTGAAGGATGCAGCCAACGGAGTGAAGTACTTCAAGAGCTTCCTGCGGCGGCTCTTCGTGAAGGGAGCAGCAAATGTTTTCCTCTACCGCTTCCAGCAATTCATGAATTTGCACCACGGGAATGGGGACATGCTTCGTTGGATTACCAGGTTTCAACTCTCTGCTCAGATCATGCAGGAAGCGTGTAATGACACCTATCTGCCGATCGTCGACACGAACAACGCCGAGGTCAGAGCGTACATAGCAGGACTTCCCGCAGAAGAACAAGAAGGTCTTATGCCAGAGCAGGCGATGGAACGGGCAAACGAACGGCTCAGAGACCAGCATGCTCGGACCACTGTCCGACCTCACGCAGGATCAGAGACAGGTGCTGACATCGTTGATGGCACATCGGAACCGAGTGCTGGCAGACTACCGCCTTGCCGAGCTGCGTGAGGGCTACCTCGAGATCTTCTGCACGACCAAGACTACCGTCGACAACCCGCTCCTCGCTCCTTCCGGCCACGGTGGCCGCAAGACGGTCCTGGTGATCGATGAAGGATATTTGGACAGTCATGAAGGCTACTGGGTTGAGGACGAGGAGGATGGCACAGAAGGTTTTCGAGAAGCTGATGAAGATTCCTTTTGGGTCTACGACGACGAGAACTATGCATGGTTCCAGCGACGTTTCCAAGGTCGCAAGATGAAGCGCGGTTTCAAGGGCCGCCGCAAAGGCAAAGGAAAAGGTGGCAAGGGATCCAATGGAAGGCGCTTCCTCAAACAGAAGAAAGGCAGTTTGTGTGGGCCTCGCCTCTGCCACGGGCTTCCTTTGGCCCTGGAATCCAGTGCGCCGAGAGCACCGGGACGGGGGAGGGCGCACTGGCGCACTCTTCTTTGTCGATCTTGTCAACTCAGCCCGACGCAGGTACCCACAGTCCCGGCCGATCGACAACTTTGATGAGCTCATTGTCTATTGTGCAAGGATCGAGCTGCATGAGTCAGAGTCCAGTCAGAGTCAAGCGATGCATCAAGGCAGCAAGAGCAACCTATGCTTGATACGCAGCCTGGGGGCTCAGTTGGGGGCTCCGTGCACATGATACATGTATCACATGATCATACAATTAAGGGCAGAGGCCAGCACGCATGCATTTTAGGATGCTGCCCATCCAGAACCGGCGATCCCATGGCATCGGACGCCCGCCTCCTGCTTCGGCGAGGGTCGTGGTGAGCTCGAGCCCGGCTTGCTCGAGCCCACCTTCGTGGATCGGCCGCATGGTGCCGCCGATCACCCCTCCTTTGCCGATGACATAAGCAGGCCCTCCTTCTCTCCCGACTCCTCGACTGGGATTTTGAGATCGGTGTTGCCGCTATTCAAGGACACAGCAGAGTGCCCGAGCAGGTGTCAGAAGCCGCCTTGGGTGAGAAGCTCACCCTGGGAAGATAACTCCAATTATGAGAGTATCTGCGAGAAAGGATTGCTGTTGGAGGCCAAGAAGGCTTCATGGCAGAGGCACAGGTTTGCCATCCACTTCGTTTATGTGGGTGGAGAGGTTTCACCGACGGTCATCAAGTACAGTTCGTACACCTTCTACGCCAAGCTTGACTATGGGAGCTTTCTGAGCCATGGCCACGAGCTGTATCTCACAGACAACGGCGTGGTGCTCTCATATGCCGACGTGGCACCGATGTACTTGACGTTCCACTACCGTCCGCCACATGAAAAGGATCCTGGTGGTCTGCGCCACGACCAGAGGCAGAGTTCTGCAGGGGTAGGCTCTCACGAAGAGGGAACCTCGGCATCTGCTTCGCGCTCCGGAGGCTCTCCTCATGGAGAGGTAGCGGGAAGCAGCACGGATCCGAAGCCTCGGCCAGTTCCCAAGAAGAGGCCAAAGGTATCTCAGGATACCGGCGCGTCCCAGCCCGTTGACGCAGCCGCTCAGCCGCTCTTCCTTATCCGTGAGAATGAGCTTAAGGAAGAGAGGGAGCGACAGGCCAGTGCCACGCAATCCGAAGGGGCCACCAAGTATGCGCATCAGTCTGGTGACTTTGGCACTGTTCACTTGCACACGGTCTCTTGCACTGTGTCGACTCAAATGTTCAGAAGATGTTGACTGCCTGTGACGATCCGATCGTTCAGGTACAAGTGGGCAACCTGGTTGCAACATCCTCTCTCCGGGTATTCCCTGCACTTCTTCCTCATGGCGTTTGAGATGGGGAAGCTTCAGCGAAACTATCTCGTGGAGATGGAGAAGAAGCCGAAGGTCTAATCGAATGGGTACAGAAGCCCATATTTGGACCGCAGCAAGCATCCAGGAGGCCTATAGCGGAAATGATCGCTGACATCTCGAGGGCGGCTACCTTTGAGTTTCGACCATGTCGGAAACATTGCTTTTCACCCTCCAAGAGATGATGATCCGCGATCGCGTATGCCAAAGACGGAGGATCCTGACTACTCTCGCAGACTCGAGGCACACAATGCTTTCCTCAAGGAAAGGGATGTTTGCCGTGAGATTGGCTTTGTGCGGGAGGACTTTCAGATGCTCGTCGGCGTCATCAACGAGGCCTATGGTTTGGACTTCTTCTCCTATATCCAGCGCCATGCATAAGACGCAAGTACGTTGTGAAGACTCCAGAAGGGTACGGACTCTTTGACTCCACTCTCAGGCATTCAATGGTCGCTATGTGCTGGCCGCCTTGGAAAAGGTTCTCTCCAGTACCGAGAACAAGGACTTCAAGTCAGCCTTTGCTCGGAAGGCGAGGTCCGACCTTCTCGCGTTTGAGACCCTCAAGGAGAAGAGGGAAGCCGAGTTGGAGGAGCTCGACACTCGTCCTTACGAGCACATCCTTGTGGAGGAGTTCCTCGAAATGCAGCAGGGTCAGCGGACTTGCCACAAGGCGAGATGGCTGGCCCAGCATAGACAGAAGCGCCCGATGTGCAAATGGAGACCGAAGCTCCGGAAAGCTCTCCACAGGGAGAGGTATCGGAAACGAAAGATGAGCACATGGGTCAAGAGGAGGAGTCCAAGGACGACGATATGGCAAAGGAAAGCTCACCACAGGGTGAGGAATCCATGCCAGACATTTCTCCCGAGAAAGATGATGATGAAAGTGAACTTCACGATCAAGCATCTGTGAGAAATGCAAGAACGTCGCCGATCCTGGGTGGAACAAGGCCGCAAAGGATGCAGAGGAGAAGAATGAGGACGCGTTCGAAAACCTTGGGAAGGCGAAGGAGAAGTTTGGCCTTGTCGACACTAATGAGTTCAAGTACTTCATCGCCACAACCTTGTCATGGTCGAGCGCGCGAGTCCCATGCGTTTGCTGACGAAACAGAGGGACGGCTACGGCTACGGCTACAGTGGCCTCTACCACACCGGCATTCGCGACTATCAACGGGACCAGGTGAACACGTTCAAGGTGCAACGCATGAGCTGGAGAGTGGAAGCGCCATCACATGGTGGACAAAAGTACATGCTCAGTTCTGGAGACCTGTTCACGCAGCTTTGTGAAATGGTCCGTTTTGGGCTAGCTGAGGATGGGCCAGTTCCTATCTACACCAGCAAGTCCAAGTACACCGCTCTGATCCTGAACCTCGGGAACATGAGCCGACGCGGGAAGCGTACGGCACCTTCTTCCTTTGCGGATCACATCGATTACGATGACTCGGCATCATCGAAGGGGGCTCTTATCAAGTCGATCGCCCAGAGCAAATCACACCGCTTCATGTTGTGTGAGGCCTCAGAGGTATCGAGATCTGAGCTTGACTTCCTCTATTCCCAGGGATGGCAGACACTCCAGAATGCCTCTGGAGACATCCTCATCGGATGCCGGACGAATCTCGTGGACAGCAGCATCAAACGGCTGGCAGGCCCAACACTCACTGAGCTTGCTAAAAAGCATCTCCTGACCACTTACATGATTGTGGAGATTGTCTACGGGAAGACTCTGCCGCTTGGAGGTCAAGGCAATCGGGGTGAAGTCCGAATTCCCTAATTCAGAAATGACTCGGGGCTTGGAGAGGGCTGTCTCCGACCGCATAAGAGTCTGCTGTTACCACCTTCGCAACGATGTCGCAGCTGACAAGGTGGCGTTGGCACATGAGGCATTGGGCACTATGTTCGTGGGCTGCCTTCACTACGTGGTGACGCCAACATGGCCTTCTATCGGGCCGCGGGCAGAAAGCAGGAGTCCATGGACATCCGCGGCGGCATGTTTCAGAGCCTCCTCGATTACTTCCTCGAGGCGTGGTCTGAAAGCCCGAGGTGCCCGCACCTTCGTGCGCCACGAGCAAGGCACATTTCCGCAAATTCCTTATGCCTCCCCAAGCAGCATGAGGACACGCTCGGTGGACTATATAGGGATTGCCAGATGCCCGATTGGAACACGTTTCCAGGGCTTGATTCCTTAATGACAACTGTTCTGGAGTGGGGCCACAGCATGTCAGATGACCTGTGGGCAGAGTTTTCGCCAAGACGGTCAGAGTATGACATCAAGGTCTCCGAATGGCTCCTCAAGTCCACCAGCGCCTCGTGCCTGTTGAACGACCGGGACTACGACCCCCATACTCCTCTCCTGATCGAGGTTCACGCGAACCAGTACACAGGTGGAAGGATGAGGGCGCTGAACCGTAATCCTGAGACGATGAAAGAGGCAGCGGACAGGAGGAAAGAGAGACAGAAGGCGAACAGGGCGCGTGGCTCTGGCGGTCCCTCGTCCGACGCACCCTCAAAGAGCAGGCTCTCCACAATAAAAAAAAAAGTTCCTGGTGCAACCTCGTCTGGGAACCCGCACAACCCCGTGGTGGCAAAGCGGGAGGCAAGTCCTCCAATGGAAAAGGCAAAGACACAAGGACAAGTCCAAGGGCAAGACCAAGGGGAAGAACTGACTAGGTTCTGACGTGGGCGAGGATGAGCATGAAGACGTCCCTGACGAAGACGTGGGTCCTGGTCCTACGAGTTCCCTTGGCGATGGACCGTGGTTTCCTTACGTTCTACAACTCCATCATTGGCGTTTGGAACGGTGGTACTATCCTCATCGACAGCTTCCGCATGAAGATGAGGACCCACGAGTTCGTCGGCTTTTGGATCTTTGCCAACGTTAAGGTCCGATTGAAGAAGTGGACTGAGTGTTTCACGGAATGCTTCTCACAGGAGAAGGTATCCACTTCGAGCATTCGTCATTTCATAGGGAGATGTTTTTCTCAGGAAAAAGTACTTCCTAAAGACCTTGTCAAGAAAGAAGATACTTATCACAGGATAAGATACTTCTAAGATTCTAAGCCCTTACAGTTTGCCTCGCCGCAATGATGTCATGCTGGCATCAAGTGGAGCTAAGCTCTACAATCTTATGTGCAGTATGCTTTCCACCTGGAGAGGGAAACACAACAGCGGGCAACTTTCAAGCACAAGTTTTCAACCGAAGATCCGTTTGTGTTTGTGTGCGTGTTCGGCTATTTCATAAGCTGTCTCCAGGCTGAGACGTATAGTTTCTCGCAAGTCGCAGATGTAGCTCAACCTCCGCAGTATTAATTCGCTTGGGCAATAACAGGCTTGTAGAATGCCGACTCCACGGCCATGAAAGTTCTACGTGTTTCAAATTTGTGCTTGGTTGAAACACTGAATGTTACACATCCAGGTGCCTGTCTGTTTCACGTATCACTTGCATGTATCATCATGTATCCATGCTTGTTGCTCAAGGTTCTAGTGCAGTGGACTACAGCTGTGCGCCTGTAGGAAAAGAGACTCCTGAGTGCCTGTGTTCCTGCACGCATAGCGAGGGGATGCACGTCCAGGTTACATCTCATGGGTGGCAGGGACGGGGGGTGAGGGGGGTGGGGGAGGGAGAGGTTTGGAGTGCAAAAACAGCAGGACAAGGGAAGAGGTACCTGAGTTAACCCTCGGCGGATTACTTATATCCGACATCTTCCCACAGATGTCTTGCTATCGAAATGTTCATATTCATGGCGCATCCATGTCACATGCGCAGTTCCCCGCACAGGACCTTTTGGCGTCCATCGCTGTGGGCCCCGCTTCGCGCGTGGAGGGCTCATACGCATGGGAGCGTTTGCCGGAGGCCATCATTCTTCGTCCAGGCAGGGGCCCGGGTTGTTCGAAGCAAATCCATGACAAGTCGACAAGCTGACAAAGCCAGCGCCAGCCATTTGCCAAAGACAGCTACAGCAACTGCAGTACACGTAGTTCCGGCCTCTGGCTGCAGCCTTGTCGGGTCTTGCTTCGCCAGGCCATGAGTACCGATTGACTCTCCGCTGCCGCGTGCTGCACCTATAGGGCATGCGTGGCCTCACCATGAGTTGTTTTGCTCGCCGAGGCTAACATGCAGGACCGCTGGCAGCGGCCAGAGTTTATTTCAGGAATTAGGAACCAGACCGAGACCCTTCCTGGTTACCTACAGTTTCATATCTAATGTCTTTCCAGGTCGGATGCCACCTGCGCAGCCGAGGAGGCAGCAGCCGAGTCCTGGGCGGCGCTTGCCAGCTTCCTGGGTGGCGCCGGAGCCCCGCAGCGTGCAGCAGATTGCAGCAGTGCAGCAGTGCAGCGCTTGAAGACAACTTGGATTCTGCTCTTGTGCTAGGCGTGCAAGAATGCGAACGGCTTCCCCAGCCGCACTGACGGCGACCTTCGGCGCCACGGGCTTGGGCCGAGCTGCGGGCTGCGCTCTGGCCTGGCCATGTCGGCTTAGGCCCCGGCATAGTGAACTTCAAAGCCCTGCTGCGACCGCCAGCGGCTCAGTTTTCGCTTCGTGCTCGATGCCCGTCGGCTATGCGATCAGTTGCTTCAAGATTCACTGTAAAACATTCTGCAACAGCAAGGTTGGTTTCTCAGTGCTTTGTTCAGGGTGCATTGGTTTGTCTTTAAAAGGCAACCCGAAAGCTGTCCTTGAGGTTGTCTTGTAGGGGTCAGTGAGGCACTCCAGGTCAGAACGGAGGAACATGAATTGCACCGTGATATGATTTGTTCTGGCCACAAGATTTCGGCGCCTTCATCTAGGCTGGTTGGAAACCCAATTGCCCTGGAGCCGATTGGCCTAAAGGCGCAAAGGCCTTGGCGGAGAATCTATGTCGGCAAGGAGAGGGGAGCTGCGGGACACTACATCCCCAACCCAACAGTCACAGCGTGCATCTGGAAGACAAAGAGGAAGCCTTTCACGCGACGAAGCGGAATACGAGCCCTAAACTCACAACATCGGAGCTGTCCTGGAAACGCCAGAACCACAGAAGGGCCGATTCGGCCCAATAGCCTTCAGATCAGGTCCAACGAGCCGGCGCTCCGCGATGTCGGCCGCGAAGCTTTCGCCCGGTCTCTTGCCAGACACCCAGGACCAGGGAACGGAGGCGTGCGCCTCTTTGCGAGTTCGGGCCGGGACGGCCGGGAGTTCGGAGGCCGCCAGCGCTGCTGCAGAGGCTCGAGCTGGCGACGAGGCCGATCGCAACTGCTGTGACCAATGACTTCACTCTCGTTTTTCTTACATCATCATCACTTGCAAAAGCCACCCTGCGAGAAGTACACGGTGAACATCCAAAAGAATTAAACCTGGCCATAGCCATCTGCAGAAAGCAACAGGGCACAATCCTTAGCTGCCTCAGCTGAGGCACAAAAGTGCCTTAGCTCCTGAGCGAAGGGATATCTGATCGCCTCGGTCCTTAACCCAGCCGGAGCCCGAATCTTCTGACCGAGGTTTGCTGTCTCTAAGATCAAGACGCACCATCAAATCAAAGTCTCTTCGACAAGTCGGCACACCTCAGCAAGAGCTGTCGCCTGAGTCCCCTCAACGGAGTAGCAGGCGCTACCGCCTTGCTGCGGGCAAGTCTGACGCACGAAAACGCCCGCCCATCTTGGACTGCAAGACATCGACGCATGTCGGGCCCGTCTGCAGGCAAGGACTGACACCAAGGACATCTCTCCTACTTGTATTCCAGAAGATGGCACCATGGCACGGTAACAGTCGAAACTGCCGCACCGGCCACGACTGCAAACCCGTGATCCTTTCCTGCATTCTCACGAAGGCCTACCCGCGTTGTCCAGACTCCCCATTTGTCGGCGACTCTCTTGATTTGCACAGCCGAGGGACAGACAAAGCTACGGTCATTTGCAAAGACCACCTGCTGAGTTTGGGGCTCCTGTCTGTGGATGTCGCATACCAATTGGGGAATTGCAGACCACGCAATCCACCCTGCACGATGTACGCGGGGAACATACATATGCAGGTTTCTCGCTAGAGGGATTTTGACAAGGCGGAGAGTCCATGATGGCTGACCTTATCAGAAGGACGGCATCTACATGCATCGAGTACAAAAGTCAGAAGTCGAGCCTGAGTGAAGCGGCTGAAAGAGACTACTACTGAACTTGTGAACTGAGCAAACCCTCACACGAAATAAATGTGAGCAAGGCACTCAGCGTGCGCGATGCTCCTATGAAAAACATATGCATATAATACACACACCTATACATGTACGTAAACAAATACGCATTCATATACATACACATACACGTACACATACCCGTTTTTTTTTAAATTCTTTTCGGGCAAAAAGTCATGTCGACGCGGCCCCCTTTTGGATGCACTTAATTAAACCTAAGGAGGTGGCGCAGAAATCTATAAACATTGTATGCGTTCACCAGACAGGGGTGGGATATAACAGCACTCGGAAAAGCTGTCCCACCCCCACAACAAAATCAATATTAGGGCACACGGACAGTGCATGATCATGCTCGGAAGGCAAGGGATGCTTTTCATTCCATTGTCGGCTATCAAAGCACCAGACAAATTACAATCCAAGTTTTTGGATCGTGGAAGTGCAGGATCTTCCTCAAAGGTATCGGATGAGGCCATCCCTACAAAGTTAGCATACCCAGGATGTCACAACACCTTCATCGAGGTGATATCGAGGACATCAACGCAACTGCGATAAAATCAACAACAGTGCTGACCTAACAGCAGCATGAAGGCCCACACACTGAAAGACAAATCGCGCTTGCATCACTCACATGTTCAGGAGCTGCTAAAGTCAGGATGCTGGAGTCAGGGTCATCAAATCCAACACAGCAACGTTTGTGCATAACCCATCTACATGTCCTTCGCGCCCACGAACGACATCATGTCACTTGCAGTGCAGCAGTTGCCAGCTTGTGCTCCAAGGACATGCGCAACATGGCCACGTTGCAAAGCGTGCCTTTCGCGCCCACAAGTGCCATCACGACTGATATGGTGCAGTAGTTGCCAGCACTCAGTTTGATGATCCAGATGGCCTTGCCCAACAAGCGTTCTGCTTGATGACGCACGTCTGGAAAGCCAACGACTTCTTGAAGCCAGCTGCAAACCCGCTACCATGCGCTCACATAAGCGCCATCGCGTCGGAAAAGGTGCAGAAGTTGCCAACACCCAGTTCGATGGTCCAGATGGCCTCGCCTGACGAGCAAGTGTTCTGGCTGGTGACGCACGTCTTGAAGCCAGCTGCAAACAATACCGTGCGGTATGCAAGCGTGTCCTCCAAAGCAAGGCTTAACATGTTCACCTTGCAAAGAGTACCCTTCGTACCCATGAGCACCATCACGTCGGGTGAGGGCCAAACCAATTTCCGTATGACTCATACAAAATCTTCCCTCTCGGCCACATGTTCGGTTTGATGGTTCAGTGCCCTCGTGATTCTCTCTATCTTAGGCCCGAATCCATAGACCCTATGAACTCGACATCGCATCATGATGCAAATAGTCGTATCATCATACATGGCTTCTATTGTGTGTTGTAGTGTCGTAACAAAATGACCCGTGGTGCCCTCGTTGTTTACCAGGGGGAACCGCCGACATGATCACAAGGAAAGGGAGGGAGATAGGAGTACAGAAGCCGTAATTTACGAGCAGTTGCAGATTCAAATGTCAGACACATATTGTAACGCAATCATTCCGTCGTGCACAGCAACCCGTTTCCTCATGACCATGGGATTGAATGCGTGACAAACTGACGTGTCTAACGGTAGTACTTAGTATACAATATTCAGCATCGGACATGGTAATCATAGTTCCAAGTCTGCACTTAACTCAGCGTTGAAAGATTGAACTTAAATGCGGCCACGCCCAGGAACCAAGAACCAAGATGCCCAGGTCCGGACTCCAAGAACCAGGAGTCAAGATGCCCAGGACTCTTGAATGTTGGATCTAGGTTCAAAAGGCCACATTGAAATCTGCAACGAAAACCTGAACTTCGAAGCACACGGGCCTCAGGAACCGAAATTCAAGAGTCCTGGGCATCTTGGCTCATGGTTCCACGGGTCTGAATGTCCTGAAATTCAATTTCTCAATGCGGATCTCAATGCAAGTCCGCGGAGCCTAGATCCAAGATTCAACAGTCCCGGGCATCTTGGTTCTTGGTTCCACGGTGTTTTCATGCCGGATTCAATATATTCAATGCACCGGGTAACAAATCCAAGACATGCTAACATATATAGTAAAATAGACTGAGGCACACTCAGATGTACAAGTGCATGTAAAAGTATTATACATAATCGCGTATAGTTCAAGGCAAGCCCACGCTTTGGAGGCATGCTTCATGCTTTGGAGGTAGGTTCTCGGGAGGGATGCCCTCTATATATATATATATATATATATATACAGACATACACACTTGACACAATGTGTCACAGGTCTCAAGTCAGCTCGAAAAGTCAGGGGGACTCCAGGCTGAAAGTGCTTATCAGCTCGATTCTTTGTGTAATTTTTGCATGACAACTCGGACATTCACAGAAATGCAACTACAAACTGATTCTGATCATTCCAGCTGCACATCCAGTGCCCAGGAACTGATTTGCAGGTACGTTTTGATGGCTACATCATACAGAGCTTCGTTGGCCCGAGCTGTATGATGTGCCCTCGGGCCCCCTGCATAACTCTTCATGACAGCAAATGCTCTCTGGTACAGAGTTGGACACATACAGGCCCCGAGGGGCTCCAGCATTTCAACAACTCATACTTCTTGACGCGCACTCGGTCTTCAAGTCGACATGTCTGCAATGCATTCACACTCAAGCTTGTCGTTGTCGTCGTTGGAGCACCTGTCGTTGTCGTCGTTGGCGTCATGTCGTATGGTTAGATGACGGCGAAAAAGAAGAGTAAGAGAGACAAGCCCGATGATGAAACACTTGCTGATGAACGCAAGAAAACAATGAACGAAAAGAGAGCGTCGGATGGAGATGGTGCTACACCAGCGTCAGCTACCTCATCCTATAACAGCTGCTGAAGCACTGCACATACCACCTGTGTTCACAACTGATCACATGCACTGGCTCCAGACTAGACACTCACAGATGCAAACATGCAAAACGACCCCTGCATAACTCTTCATGACAGCAAATGCTCTTTGGTACAGAGTTGGACACACACACACACACAGGCCCCGAGGGGCTCCAGCATATCAGGATCTCATACTTCTTGACGCGCACTCGGTCTGTAAATCTTGTCGTCGTTGGAGCACTTGTCGTTGTCGTCGTTGGCGTCGTGTCGTATGATTAGATGACGGCGAAAAGGAAGAGTTAGAGAGACAGGCCCGATGAAGTGACGGAGAGAGTGAAACACCTACTGAGTAACGCAAGGAAACAATGAACGAAAAGAGAGCGTCGGAAGGAGAGGGTGTTACACCAGCCGTACAGGTGATCAACTGCAGCAAATCTTTAATTGGGTCATCAGGAATCGACATGTCTGCAAGGCATTCTACACTCAAGCACTTGTCGTTGTCGTTGTTGGCGTCCCGTCGTATGATCAGATGACGGCGAAAAAGAAGAGTGAGAGACAGGCCCGATGAGGTGACGCAGAAAGTGAAACACCTGCTGATGAACGCAAAAAAACAGTGAACGAAAAGAGAGCGTCGGATGGAGATGGTACTACACCAACTGTACACGCAACCAACTGCAACATGTCTTTACTTGGGTCATCAGGGATCGACATGTCTGCAAGGCACGCTACACTCAAGCACTTGTCGTTGGCGTCGTGTCGTGTGATTAGATGACGGCGAAAAGGAAGAGTTAGAGAGACAGGCCCGATGAAGTGACGGAGAAAGTGAAACACTTACTGATGAACGCAAGAAAACAATGAACGAAAACAGAGCGTCGGATGGAGATGGTGCTACACCAGCGTCAGCTACCTCATCCTATAACAGCTTCTGAAGCACTGCACATACCACCTGTGTGCACAACTGATCACATGCACTGGCTCCAGACTAGACTCACAGCAGCTTGCACTCACAGATGCAAACATGCAAAACGACCCCTGCATAACTCTTCATGACAGCAAATGCTCTTTGGATCTCTTTGGTACAGAGTTGGACGCACACACACACACACACAGAGGCCCCGAGGGGCTCCAGCATGTCAAGAACTCATATTTCTTGACGTGCACTCGGTCTTTAAATCGGCATGTCTGCAAGGCACTCTACACTCAAGCTTGTGGCCCGATGAAGTGACGGAGAGAGTGAAACGCCTCCTGATGAAAGCAAGAAAACAGTGAACGAAAAGAGAGCGTCGGAAGGAGAGGGTGCTACGCCAGCCATACAGGTGACCAACTGCAGCGAATCTTTAATTGGGTCATCAGGAATCGACATGTCTGCAAGGCACTCTACACTCAAGCACCTGTCGTTGTCGTCGTTGGCGTCGTGTCGGGGGTTTTGATGACGGCGAGAAAGAAGAGTTAGAGAGACAGGCCTGAAGTGACGGAGAAAGCGAAACCCCTACTGATGAACGCAAGAAAACAATGAACGAAAACAGACCGTCGGATGGAGATGGTGCTACACCAGCGTCAGCTACCTCATCCTATAACAGCTGCTGAAGCACCGCACATACCACCTGTGTTCACAACTGATCACATGCACTGGCTCCAGACTAGACTCACAGCAGCTTGCACTCTCAGATGCAAACATGCAAAACGATTTGATACGATTTGAGGAAAAGATTTCTGCCAACAGCTCCGGTCAATACGCTCAATACAAGGGCCTATCTCCAGTCACTACCAATCGCTCACTGCGTCAAGAAGCTCCATAGGAAAACTGTCTACAAAACCTAAGTCGGAGACCTGCGACCAAGTCAATGGAAAAGTCATCCGAATATTTTGAGGAAAGCGAGAAGTCAATGTCGAAGTCACATTCAAGGCAGGCGGAAGGCTTAATCGGTATTCCCGTCATATAGACGGATAAGTCAGGTGGGAATCAATCTACAAGCTGGGAAATAAGTCTGGAGAAGTCATCCGCAGCTTGATAAGTCAATCGGATAAGTCAGCACCAGAGCAACCTGTGGGAGACACGGCGCCCATCGGGAAAGCCGTTGTGAATCACACTTGACACAATGTGTCACAGGTCTCAAGTCAGCTCGAAAAGTCAGGGGGACTCCAGGCTGAAAGTGCTTATCAGCTCGATTCTTTGTGTAATTTTTGCATGACAACTCGGACACTCACAGAAATGCAATTACAAACTGATTCTGATCGTTCCAGCTGCACATCCAGTGCCCAGGAACTGATCTGCAGGTACGTTTTGATGGAGACATCATACAGAGCTTCGTTGGCCCGAGCTGTATCATGTGCCCTCGGGCCCCCTGCATAACTCTTCATGACAGCAAATGCTCTTTGGTACAGAGCCGGACACACACACACACACACATCGTTGATGGACTTGTTACTGCCAACTTTTGCGTATGCGTCGCTTCGTTTTGAGCCTGCTGCAGGTGGAGAGCCGGCTAGCGGCGCTTGCTGGCCTTGTAGCTCTTTTCGTGGACGAGATCAGGTGCTGCAGATTTTCGATGTCAGTTCTCACATTGAAGATGACGGTGTTGTTCGAAAGCACTCACCCTGTCATAACCAACGGTGGATGCAATTTGAGCTGGAGCAGACTATAGCAAACAAATTTCATAGTGCATTGCCTGTACTACTCCTCCTCCGAGTCCCCAACAGCTCGAAGAGGCTCCCGGCCATGGCGCTGCTGGGAGCCGAGGCAAGTCACGCCATGGCTGCACACGCTGCCGAACTTCAGGGTCCCGGTATTTTCAAGTCAACGCGTCACCTGCGTCTTCGAAGGAGGAGTTGCAGCTCATCGCGGCGAGTGGATACCTCAGCAGGCTGTGCAGTCGGATCCCGGGGTTCTCCGAGACGTGAGGCGCCGCCGCTTGCAGCCCTACCGGGGCACTGGAGCTGGCAGGCGCGGTCCGGTCGTTTTCTGCGCTGGTCCCTTCGTCTTATCACATGCAACCCTGCAACAAATTGGGCACCATCCTGTGCAAGAACTAGAGGCCCCAACATCCCAAGAAGTGCACGCGTTGGTTGGAATCCACGCTGACCACTTGAAGACGCTCTTCCGGGGCGCAAGGCTGTGGGATCTTCGACAGCCGTGCGCCACTTTTCTCAACGAAGCAGACGAGCCGGAAGCAGATCGCATATTGTGGTTCTAGCAGGATGCAGGCACATGCTCACGCATTGCACATGAGCCTGATGATCGGCTGCGCTGAAAGAGCATCAGAATCAGTTATTGCCTAATTGCAGAGGCAGAGGCAGAGAGAGAGAGAGACAGAGAGGATGGATGCCCGGGGAACTTGATCGTCTTTCATGCTCGGGAAGAGAAGAAGAGGAAGAGAGCGAGAGCCAGTCCTGTCATGAGCCTGCTTTTCCTTCGCAGCCATCAGTCATTTTCTGCCCGGCCCCATGCAGCCCAGGCTCTGTCAGGAGATGCGCAAGCCCCAGCTCAACATGCTGCGGCTTGGAAGACGGATTGATGAACGAACTCAACCGCTCAGACACTCTCTCTCTCTCTCTCTGTCGCATTGCCTTTTTTTCAGCTCGTTGAGGTCTCGCACAGCGCTGCGCACTAAGAGTGTTGCTTCCTTGCACACGACCGGACTCGAGACCGGAGAGAGACCTTGCTAGGGAAACAGACCTTCGAGCTCGGGCTTGATTCAGGCGCCGCAGCGGTCTGGATGCGGGCCTGCTGCTGGTTGGTGCACTGACGGGCGAGGCGAGGACGGCGTGGGGATCTCTTGATGCCCCAAAGAGAGACCGAAGCGGGTCTCAGGTGCTGGGCCTGTGCTTGCGGCCACGAGCCCCCGAGCTGCGCTTCGAGGGCACCGGCCGGCCGCTAGGGACCTGGAAACCACAGAGGCTAAGAGTTGGCTAAGTTGGCGTCCGGACGGAGGCTCCAGGCCTGGGAGCTGGCAGAGCAGCTGCAGCCAGGGCCGCAGTCTCCTCCCCATGCCTCATTCAGCCGCAGCTGGCCGCAGCTCACATATTTGTGCCAGCAGAGAGTCGTCGTAGCTGGCTGAGGCCTGGTTCTGTGCTTTGCTGTGAGTGTAGTGTGGCGACTTCTCAGGGCTGGCTTGGCTTTGGTCCGAACCTCTACAGAGGCCCCAGCAGTCATCAGGCCATCCTCGATTGTAGCTGCTCTTTGCTCGTTCGAGGTGGTTGCCTACCCTGCGCAGAAGGCTGGGCCGCTCGGCAGTGTTATCCTTGAGCACGTCAAACGTGGTCTCGCGAGGCTGCGGGATCTGCGGGCTTGCGGCTGAAGCTGCGCAGGGCTCAGCTCTGGGAGCGGAGGGCCCCGGGACCGCTCGGATCCGCTCGGCAGCTGAGGTGAAGCGAGCCTCTGTGCGCTGAGCTTCGAGGAAAGGCACAATTCGGTGCTTTGGATGGGGGGAGCTCCTGGGCCGCGACACGACTCGCTGCGTCGCGAGAGAAAAGGGAGAGCTGCCCGAGAACACGTTTCCGACACTTACGAAGCTCTACGTGCAATGGATCATAGCGCCATGTCCGTGAATGATCATGCATGGAGAATGAGCCTGGAAGACCTGACAACCTTGCGATACGGTCGTTGTGAGCAAACTGATGTTTGCGTAAATGCTGTGCCCCTTCGGTCACTCATTGGTCGCTATAATTCACCGGCACCTCAACACCTCCGTTCAGCCTGATTCATCGGTGCAGAGCATTTTTGTCCTATGTTCGCTTCGTCTCTGCAGGGCTTCGTGCTAGTCAGTGCATCGTCCTCTTCATGATTGGGGGTGACAGTTTGCCCAGCACAGTGGCTAAAGTGATTTTAGTGTTGCACTGGGACGGCGTGAGGTTTCCAGGTGCTCCTGCATCCTTTCACTCAGCTGAACCCTCAAGGCCTCTGCGCAGCATTGCATGAGGTAATCAGCAACCATTGGGTGGCAGGCAAATATATGGGTTGCCAACTGCATATGTCCTGAGTCACGCGGTCACATGTTTGGCGGATGCTTGAGCACTATGGCGGCCACAACAGCGAGGCCATTTACGTGGGGTCATCGAACACGATCAGGCCACAATGCGCGAGGCTGAGCACATGACTGAGGAACAACAAGCGCTTTGGTCGCCACCTCAAGCCAGCCAGTCAACGCCAAACCTATCTCGATTCTGGCTGGAGCTGCACACCCACCCCCAGCTTTGCCTTTGCCTTCCAGGCTTTGGGAGCCTTCCTGTAGGGAAGTCCGCCCAATGTCCAGTTGTGCATGGACAGGTTTACTTTGCAATTGCTCCCGAAGAATTTTTTCATTCTAACACTGCAATGCCCACGCTTAAACTGAGCTCTGAGGCCCCAACCCAAGTCTCAACCGAGTGGCTTGTCTTCTTGCTCATCGATCCCTCTTCGAATCACCGAGACAAGACCCACTGCCTTTCAATTTCTGCTACTTTGTCAGGGAGGCCATGGGGATCGGAGACTGCTGCTCCACTCATGCTCCCGATTTGGAGTTCACATTGGTCTTCTTGCTCACGTATATAGTTTGTGAGGTCCTGGAGTGCTTCTGAAGGCAGGAGAAGAGCTTCGCCATGCTTGGCTGAAGCGATGGCGACCTTGTCAAAAATGCTCTTGTGAAAGAAAGGGGGCTTCGGATTCCCCCAAAAATGGCTGTTTTGCCAAGCTTTGTGCTGGGTAGCAACGCAACGTTCCTCGACGTAGCTTCAGTGACTCATCTGAACCGCAAGGCAAGTCAATTTCGGCAAGTGTTGATATTGTTTAGTCTAGTCGGCGATGGTCGGCATGGTGCTCACCTATCTCGATGTGATTATCTCATGCTCAGCTGCTAGCATGAGAAAACGTCGCAGAGCGGTCACAGAGCCAAAGCTCAGACTTTGATGCTGCAGCTGCTGGGCTTCGAGACAACCCTGTTGCATGTCAAGCCTTTCAACCGTTCTCGCGGCTTCTAGGCGCTGTGGAGTAATGTCAATCCAGGGTCAGATGAGCAGATTGGGCGAATCACTCCTCCAAATACTTGCGTCGCTCGGAAGTTTGGTGAGGGCTTCTTTTATGACGTACATGCCCAAGCAGCCAAGCCGCAAGCAATCCCGACGTTCGGCACTCATGCCTCGCCTTGTTGGCGTCCGGAACGTCGGATTCGTGATGGACCGGTATGAACTCGATGTGCCTTGAAAAGAACATCTGAGAGAGATCGAGGTCCTTTTCGAACATCGAAGCTGTGTGCCTTCAGGAGTCCCGGTGTGGTGTGCTGTGTGGGTGGGAGCCTTTGGCGGCACCATCAGAACCACTAGGAAATGCGGCAAAAGAGCCCACTGCGCTATCAGCAAGGCTGGCTTGCACATATAATAGTGTTCGTTCGCTTTCTTCCTACCCCGTGCCGTGCCTCACGTGTAGGAATTGCTGGTGTTTTGCTGCGAACCTTCAAATCAGGGCAGGGATGAAAGAAGGCTTTGCGAATCGCTGGGAGTATGGGCATTTTTCGGGAGAGAAGGCTTCCGGGTAACAAGTGAAGTTCTCAGGAACGCGCTAGCGATGCAGGACGGGCTAGTGCTTGGTTTCAGCGTGTCCAGCGTCGGCTTTGTGAGTTGGGATGGCAAAAGTACAGAGTGCAGCTCACACATCATGATCTCCACAAGAAATGGAAGGCTCCACGAAGCTGGATGTTACGAAGGGGTTGCCAGGCTAGCTTCTGCATTGAACATGTCGGTTTTCTCAACTCCTCTGGCAGGAGAACGTCACACAACCGAAGAAGGAGCCGGGTGTCGAGAGCCTGAAGTTTCTCTTGTTGCAGTGCCGGTGGTCTTGAGGCAACAAGACTCAGTCAAAGTGCCAGCCCCGTGGGAAAATGGTCACGGCTTAAGGCATCAGTTAGCCTGTTGAGCTCACACTGCATCTTCAAACATGATTTGAACTCACAACGCGCTGCGAATTTGACGCGCCTGTTGTTCAAGTCTTGGGTTGGCAAGGACAGTGTCAGATCATGTCAGATCGAGCAATGGTGGGGCGCCACGTTCCGGCACTTCGGTTGTCACTTCTACTTGCCTTACTTTGCAAGGGAGGGTCGGCTGATTGCAGCACCTTCCGGGTGACAGATGTGGTTGCCTCTCGAGGAGCCCTCGCATTCCTTGACAATAGCGGCACGGTTACTGCTTACGGTATAGATTCTTATGGGGGAAATGCACCCAGTGAGGTGTCATCGGGGGTGGTTGCCATCTCTTCCACGAACATCGGCTTCTCAGCCATCAAGTCTGATGGGTCGCTTGTGACATGGAACGATATGCAAGGCTCAGCGGCTAGTCAACTGACCTCTGGCGTGGTCTCACTGGTCGGGGGCGAGCAGGCTCATGCCGTATTGAAATCCGATGGATCTGTGGTGACTTTCGGATCATCGTCATGGGGGGGCGATTCGAGTTCAGTCGCGAGCCAACTTGCCAGTGGTGTTGTCTCCTTGCATGTCGCACCAACTACCGGCAGAGGATTCGCCGCACTGAAAAACGATGGGTCTGTTGTGACATGGGGTTCAAGTGGCTCCTGGGGAGGTGACTCGGGCTCTGTAGCCAGCGAATTGGCAACTGGTGTTGAATATGTGTTTGCCGCAACTTACCTTTTCACCGCCCTGAAAAGTGATGGTACTGTGGTGATGTGGGGTGTTGAGAACCAAGTGGTCAGCAACTTTGCGAGCGACATCAACGTGTCTTCGGTCGCCAGCACACGTTTCTCCTTCGCTTCGCTCAAATCGGGTGCCGTGGTAACATGGGGATCAGCATCCAATGGTGGCGATTCGTCGTCGGTGGCGAGCCAGCTGGCGTCCGAGGTGGTCTCAGTCGTGGGCAGCGGAGCAGCCTTTGCTGCTGTGAAATCGGATGGTTCGGTTGTGGTGTGGGGAAACTCCGGTTATGCAGGTGATTCGAGTTCTGTCGCGAGCCAACTGAACAACGTGGTTGCAGTCTTCGCTGGAGAGCGAGTATTTGCTGCCGTGAAGGCAGATGGCTCTGTGGTGACATGGGGGAACACTGGAATGGGTGGTGACTCAAGCTCAGTAAGTGGTCAGCTGACCAACGTGGTATCAATCGTTGGCTCAAGCCATGCCATGACAGCTTTGAGATCGGATGGCTCGGTGGTGACATGGGCAGATCCGTCCAACACCTTCTGGACGGGTGACGGAAGTTTCGACTCCGTCGCGGGAGACCTCACTTCGGGAGTTGTCTCCCTTCATGCTACATGGGACCCTTACAATTCGGGTTGGTGGGCTGCGGTGAAGAGTGATGCGACCATCGTGCTATGGGGCCTCTATGGACAGACCGCGTCCTTAGTATTGTGCACAACGACCACCACCTCCACAACAGCGACAATGACCACCAGCACCGCCACAACCATCACAACCACCGCAACGCCCTTTTGGATACCTGGCTATGGCCCCTTCCTCGTGCGGCCCAAGGTCATCATTGGCCGGCACTCCTATGCCAGTGTGAACATGGATGGCAGCGCCTCCACGTGGGGAGGCCAGGGAACATCACCCACACTTTTCCCAGCAGCTGCGAGCCTCGATTCGGGTGTTAAAAACATTGAGGTCCAAAAAGACTGGGATCGCTGGCTCGCACTGAAGGAGGATGGCAGTGTCGTGTCATGGGGTTTTGAGGTGCCATCGGAATGGCACTCCGGAGTAGTGCAAATCGCGACGAACGCATTTCACGTTGCGGCGGTCAAGGATGATGGCAATGTCATATGCTATCCATCTGGCACATATGGAGGCAACTGTGGTGATTTCGCCATATCCAATGTGGTCAGCATAGTTGGCTCTTACATCACTTTCGGCGCCCTCACCTCCACTGGCGCAGCATTGTCCTGGGGTCACCCAGGTTATGGTAGCTACACCGAGAAGGGATCAGGGGTCGCCGAGTCTGACATGATCGACATCAAGGGAAATCACGCCGCATGGTGCGCCCTGAGCTCGCTGGGCGCGGTCTCCTGCTGGGGATGGGGCCCTGGCCATGACATGGGAAGTGCTTCTGCAGAGCTGACGAGTGGTGTTGAATTCATAGTGGCCCCTGTGTGGTTTGCAGTCTCCACTGGGTTTGCTGCGGTAAAGTCAGATGGCCGAGGAGTTGTGTGGGGCTTACATACGGATTACACTGTGAATCCCATCATGCGGGACAATGTGAAGACTGTGATATTCGGAGAGAAAGCGGCCACAATTCTTTACATCGATGGGACCGTGGAGACTATCGGGCGAAGTGACTATGGTGGCGACTCTTCCTCGGTGTCCTCTGAGTTGGTGAATGTAGTCAAGATTTACTCTACATACGGGGCATTCGCTGCATTGAAGAGCGACGGGAGCGTGGTGACTTGGGGTAACAGCGGCT